CAAGGTATTTTACATTGTTTTTTATCGTAATGCGACATCGTGTCGGTATCGTCAGAAGCAACCAGTGGGAAGTATTTAATCGAATCATCAAACATCGCCAAAAACATGTGTTTTTTTTTAAATATATGGAAATGTGTGTAATTACTTAAGCATCGAGGGAACTTAATTGCGAAGAACTTATTTTCAATTACCAATAATCGATTATATTATTAATTAGGTACATTATGTCATGTACGCATTTATCTTTGAAATGTTTATCAAAACTTTCTGTTTTGTTTTTCATTTTAAAGATATCGCCTTGAATAACGCGGTAATCGCCCTCGATAAGTTAACATAAATATTTGTAGCCTAATTACACTGAAGCTTAACGAACTATTTGCCTGATTTCATTAATACGCGTAAATAACATTATGCACATTTTGAAATACTTAAATTTAAAATAAGAAATTTTCAATTATCACTAGTTCGGTATTTAGTATCCATTGATTGACTATTTATAAACTGACTTTGAAATTAACTATGTTGTTTAAGGATGGAGATCCGTACTGTGATTTCGATAGATAGGTCAAGGGTGCTAATTTGGATCATCCGCTATACAAAACAAACGAGACTTCGGCTTCGAGTCTCGGATGGGCAATGGCAATAACTAGGTCATACCCATATTTATTTATTTTTGGTCAGGAGGAAATCGCCGGACTCCCCCACTGGGGATGGCGGGCGGGGTATGTCGGAGTCGAACTGACTAAAACCTCCTTTCGCTCAACAATCAACGGTCGAACCTCGCATGAGACAGAACTCATGAAAAGGGGCAAAGGGGGGAAAGTGAAGCATTTAGTGCGGAGCACATTTCTCCCATCACCTTCCCCCTCAGGTCATACTCATAGGGTCCGTTAGTCTTTATAAAATAAACTTAAGAAAAATCAATATATATTTCGTATTGCTCACAGATGCTGATGAAATGTTCAATGGGTCACTACGTTCAAAAATTAATGTTGAAAACCGATAAGCCAGACTTATCTCTGTTCACAATGGAGAAATACGAAGCGATCACTAAATACAAGACTTCTTATTACACATTCCAAATGCCCGTCTCGTTGGCATTGCTAATGACCGGCGTCGACGATCCAGAGACCCACAGACAAGCTAAAACTATTCTGCTGAAGATGGGAGAGTTCTTCCAAATTCAAGTAAGATTCTATAATAAATTTACCTTATTTGACATCACGCATCACGCTTAAAATGTGATAAAATAATTTATTTAGAGTTCTAAAATATGAATTACGTACTACCATTTTAATTGTATTGCCGTCGGTGCACGATTCGTCATTAAAATGTGCTGTAACTTATTTTCATTTCATAGGATGATTTTCTGGACTGCTTCGGGGACCCCACGGTGACCGAAAAGTACGGTACCGACATTCAAGATGGAAAATGCACTTGGCTGGCAGTCGTTGCACTGCAGAGGGCAACTCCTGCCCAAAAACAAATCATGGAAGACAATTACGGAGTCAATAAACCTGAAGCTATCGCCAGGATTAAAGATCTCTATGAAGAACTTCAGCTACCTCATACGTACTCGGTCTTCGAAGAAACTACTTACGATCTCCTTAGAACGCAGATCCAACAAGTCACAAGGGGACTACCTCACGAATTGTTCTTCAAAATCTTAGACAACATCTTCAGGCGAAGCGTGTAAATGCTGTGACTATATAACACATATGTATATTAGAAATTAAAACTAGTCTATATCTAGATGTACCAATTATTGATTAAGGATAAGTTTAACAAAAATGTAGATGACGATCTCAAACTCTTTGCAGATGATTGTATGTTTTGGCACCGGCGCTAGATTTGATTAAAGCGCAAGAAAAAAAATTGTAATCAAAATCAAGAAACGAGTGATTGATCGAAATTGTTCTCGAAATATTAGCTTAGCCATTAAATGATCGTTGGTAGTGTTAGAAATGTAATGTATAAATCAATGCACCTGATTGTAGCGATTGATTGTAGTTAAAACTGTTATTTGCTAAAACAATAGTTTATCTGTTCGTTGTATTATAGTTTTCGTTATTTAAAATGTTCATCTTCAAAGCACACAATTCGAAAAACTGCAAATTAGTGTAAGCATTTATATTAACTAGATTAAGTACTATTGATAATAAAACAAACAATTACATTAAAATGTGACTATTTTTTAATTGAAAACCTGCAGAATCGTTATGTTTCGAATTCGGCTGATACCAAAAAGCGACATTAAAAAGAAACAATTATCAATATGGTAAATGTATCATGCGAATGCGATGGCGATGATGTGAGGAATGAAATAGAAACTTTTGGAGGTTTATCTTCTATCGAGTTTCAATTTCATATGTTCTTATGACATATTATCAAACTATTAAGGATGTCTAAATTAATCCTAGATGCTGCTCCTCTTTCCAGGATTACCTGATCACGCTCGACCTCCCTAAAGTTTTTTCCGTCCACCTAAGTAGAGTCCAGATAATTATTAGGAACTATAACGAATTGAATTTCACAGCAAAATAGCTGTTATCGTACCTTCAATGAATGCCCAGAATATATATCATACAGTGTATGTATGTAATGTACAATTAATTACTCTCCTTACAGATTAATAGGGAAAAGTGAGATGCTGCGGTGACCCCACATGACAAAGGAAATCAGGGTAAAATAAAAAAGAATACGTAAATAAGTGAGCAAAAGTTAAGGAAAATTAACCATTAGCAATCTATTTATGCATTTAGCTGTCTATCTGAGGAAATAAAATTTATCGTCATTGCCAAAGACTTTTTTACGATATGCCGAACAAGAATTTTTATTGTTTCCTACATATGGCCTCAACTATTAATTGAATCCTTGCCACGAAACCTTACATAGAGAAACATCCTCGTCTTAATGCACTAATTGCATTATCGTCCACGGCCCACCTGATGTTAGGTAATTAATTATCTGAGTTCATAAGCATGGGTATCCCGACACTTTGAGACATGAGGTCGATGTTTTAACCACGTTTCAGTATAAGGGTAGTATTATACTGAAACGCATGACTGCTACGCAACAGAAATACATTGAGTGGCGTTACCAACTGGCGTAGGCTTACAATACGCCTTACAACCAATAGATGGCTTTTTTCCCCCTACCTTTGCTGATAGCCTTGAGAAGCTATATCAGCGTTACCTTAGGGTACATGCTTGGTAAGCTCTTTGTAGGTGAACTCTCGGGGCTCAAACCGGAGGTGTTGCTAACACGTCCTAGCTAGAGCAGTGTTTCGCAGAATCTACCACCGGATCGCAAACGCGATCCACTGAGAAGATCTGACAAGAAACTCAGTGGGTTAATAGATGCCGGCTCACGAGCGTAGTACGGTGTAATACTCAGAGAATATTTTATAGTTAGCGGAGCCCATAGACATCAATAATGCAAATGTCACCAATGCCGTAAATGGCGCCTTTAGTCCACTCCGACTGTATGGGCATATCAAATAGTTTCTTTTGTTTTTACAATAAAGGTGAAATTTAGTAATATTCGCCGTAATAAAGTTGAAATTTGCAGTTTTTGAGCCTTATGTGCGCGGTAATAACGGTACATTTGTTGTACAAATTCAGGGCTGTTATCGAACACTTGAAAACTAATTGCGACTTAGATTTTTGTAATACTTTAAAGTAGTCTACATTGATGATACTATAGTGATGTTTCGGCTTGATATCCTTTGTGAGACCCCTGTATAATTGAGGTCGTCGTGGCGTAAAGGATAAGATACCCGGTGCATTTGTATCGAGTAATGAGACTACCAGTGTTTCAATCCCGCAGGTACAAAATTTTCTAATGAAATGCGTACTTAACAGAAGAAAGAGAAAACTGTTAGAATGAAATCAGGTATTGAAGTAAACTCTCCACACTCTACAATGTTTCCCGTGCACAGTTACACATACACATAGTTCACACGTAGTACATATATTTCTTCAACATAATAATAATTGTAGAATAGGAATTTCAGCGCATAAAATAAAACTCACTGTTCCAAAATCGTCTGTTATAATATTAATTAAAAATTAATTAACACTTTTATTTCGCCTTGCCCATTTTTTTGCCGTCGCCGCGTCGTCGCCATCTTCCTTTTCTCTGTCATTCTCGTATATTATTATTCTCTTTTCCTTTTCTTATCGTTTTCTCTTACTTACATCTTAACGTTCCGTTCCACACTGTTTCATACGTTCCGTTCTCACCAATCCTACATAATCTTCAGCAGTAGATGCAATTGTAGTAGTAATACCTTACCATCGACTATCAACCAACCTGCTTACATTACCGCTGTTACGTTACATTAGAGAGCTCAATAAATTTTATAATTAATTTAAAAAAAAAAACCATTTCAAACATAATTGCACCCTCATTTTTCGTGTTTTCGTGTTGCAATGACTTCATATACACCATTAAAACCCGGTCATGCTTAGCAGTCACAAAATACTTATGAAATACAACCAATTTTTTAAACTACGTACGCGCCAACTATGTTGGTCAATTGTGGTCTGCCCATAACCTTCGCAAGTGAAAACAATTAGTTCGCAATCGGTTCAACGGCGTAGCAGCGGACAAAATACGAACAAACAAACATTATTTTTTATATCTTATCTAACTTGTAAATTATACATTGTTCATACATCTTTGTGCGGCCAGTATCACCGATCTGGGTCTGAGAATGACTTAACATATCAAAAGCGCACAACTTTTCTGTTTTAAATTTAAATAAAACAACAAAGGAACAAAACAACTCATAAATTTCAAATGGGATTTTCAACTTACCTATTTATCCCATATGTATATTTTATGTAATAAGTACCTCATTTTGGTGTATTCCTTTCTGTAGTATAGACATCTTCCTCCTTGCGTCGATAAGCCTCAATGCTGAGAGTTGTGGTCTCTACTAATAACTTTCTCCTGGATTATCCTACGCCACTACTGCCTATCCTCAGCTGTGTGGATAGCAACGTGGACTGAAGTGTTGAAAATAGAAACGTATCTGGTTCTACCAGCGCATTGGACTTCATGACATAGTAGACATGAGTGTATTTAATTGTCTCAAATTTACCCGTAAAGTTACATACAAATATTGGCCACAACTGATCAGGGAAGTACCATCGACATATTAGTATACCTTGTATTTAAAATAAAAAAAATATGTTTTCTCAATTATTATTTCATACATTTGAGTCGACTATTATCAAAGGCGGCAATCTGACTTTTGGACAATGATTGGTAAATCAGAAAAACGAATTATTGACTTTGTATTCCATTGGCAGTCACAAAACTCTTCGGAACGACATCTTAGATAAATAACAGGTTAACTATTAACCTTTATTTAATGCAGGTTTTGAACCGTATTCTTTGAAGGAGACGATTATATTCAAATCAATCTGTATTGACATATCAATAAAAATTTTTTGTCCAAATGTACAGATTGCCGCCTTTGATAATAGACGACTCACATAATATATTTAAAACGTGTGTGCAATAGAGAATAATTAATTAAAAATTATTTAATTTGGACCAGTTCCAGATTAAGCCCCTACCTAGGATATCCTTTTACGTCAAGGTCGCTGGAGACATGCATAGACCTGAATGCTTAATGCGAGTTTTATAACGCTCTCGACAGCGTAAAAGTTAAAGCAGGTAACGTAGCGTTTGCCTAAGTTTGCCGCTAGAGGCGCTGTTCCGACTTCATACAAATGAGTCGTCTATTATCAAAGCCGGCAATCTGACTTTTGAACAATATTGGTAAATCAGAAAAACGAATTATTGACTTTGTATTCCATTGGCAGTCACAAAACTCTTCGGAACGACATCTTAGATAAATAACAGGTTAACTATTAACCTTTATTTAATGCAGGTTTTGAACCGTATTCTTTGAAGGAGACGATTATATTCAAATAAATCTGTATTGACATATCAATAAAAAATTTTTGTCCAAATGTACAGATTGCCGCCTTTGATAATAGACGACTCATTTCTCTGTCTAAGAGCGAAGCTACTCATAAAACGATATAAACCAATATCTAAAGTAATTCCTTTTTTGATGTTTTCTCGATTTACAGGCGTGATTTCATTTGCGTGTTTTTTTTTAATTGCCTTTTTAAGCAGACGTTGGACTCCAGCATCAATGTTGCTATCCACTACGCGAGGACATGAAGGAATGTAGGAACATATTCCAAACAAAAGTGCTCCGTGAAGGTCACGACCCTCAGCACTGAGGAACTCACGATGCAAGGAGTACGCAGAAAAACATACGGCCCACTTGATGGTAAGTAGTCACCGCCGCTCATGGACATATTCGCACAGACAAAACGCTGAATGTCTTCATAATGAAGTACCAAAAAGTATAACTGTAGCCATACACAAAATACTTTAAGTACTTATACAATTTCCATCTAATGTTAACAGTTTTAAAAACAAGAGAGGCACTCCACTTAACACTCATTCAGTGTTAAAGAGAAATCACAATAAACATGCCAATGTCCCTATTCAATTTGAGGTTATTTTTAACGTAAATTTCATCAAATACAGATATAAGAATAATAGCGCAAATATGACGACAGCCTCAAAAAATCTCGAAATAATTAATGAAAAGAAAATGTTCGACGATCTCCTCCCTGAAGTAATAATGACACTACAAAACAAATCCAAGTTATCTGAAGTACCCCAAATAGGAGATTGGTTGAAAAAGGTGAACCGATTTTTTTTTTATATTTTAGAATAGATACATTATTTTATTTTTAACAACAACGTTAATTATCGATTTGAATGCTGCTTACCCAAGTAAAAGGTTTGGTCTTTACTCCGTTTTTATCATGAATCCTATATTTGTTATGAAACTGAAAACTTACACACCCTAACTGGAACCTAATTACCGTTACTACCCATCATATCGAAGTTTAAAGTCTAAGTCTGCCCAAAAGTAGGTAAATCAGACAATAACTAATTAAATAGTGGAAAATAATCAATATTTCCATTTACTCTTGAACAGATGCTTCATTACAATTTGGTTGGCGGTAAACATACAAGAGGAATAACTACTGTGATTTCATACAAAACAATTGAAAAACCGGAAAAAGTCACCGAACATACTTTGAAATTGGCCTGTAAGCTGGGATGGTGTGTCGAAATGGTAATATTGTAATTTTTTTTATATTTAAGGTGATTGATGATACTCAAATCATTTAGGTATGTAAATGAACGTGATTTATCACCGATTTTGCGGCGAATAATCTTATACATACTAGCAATAACTAATAGGACCGATTAATATTGCAAAAAGGACTGATAAAATCGCACTGCAGCTATCTATAGCTCATATCTATTGTACTATCCTTGACATCATTTTCTACCTTAACCCCTCCCCCCTGATTCTCGACTTAAATTACCACACTAAGGCAAATATTTTATAAGTGTTCATGTCACACATAGTTTGTAAACGTGAGGACATTTAATTGACTCTCAGTAACAAATTATAACTACGAACACTATAATTATTATTATGTTACGCTGCTGACCTTGCACGGTGATTAAAAACTATCAAGTTTGTCGTAGTATCGTAAATTAAAAGACAAGACAAATCAGAGAATGCATAAAAAAAAATTCAAAGAGTACCATAAACAGTAATAAGGTTTTATTGAAATCATATTTAAAATTAAAAATAATAGTTTCAGGCATATTGCATTGTGCTGGATGACATTATGGATGGTTCAAGCGTTCGACGCGGCATGCCCTGTTGGTATCGGCGTCCGGAAGTGGGCATCACATGCGCCTTTAACGACTCTCTTTTGATACACAGTTCTTTATTTGAATTTCTAAAAACTAATTTCAGGACCAATCCTAATTATATAAAAATGTTTGAGCTTTTTAATGAAGTGAGTGCCTTATTATTTTTAGTATTATTTTTTTAAAATACTTCTTATCTGAAGGTTAGTCTGTTACCCGCCCTCGCTTCGCTTCGGAAACTGTTATTTATTATTAATTTCTCCACTATTTAATGGATGTTATTATACATATAAACCTTCCTCTTGAATCACTCTATGTATTAAAAAAAACCACATCAAAATCCGTTGCGTAGTTTTAAAGATTTAAGCATACATAGGGACAGACAGATATAGGGACAGAGAAAGCGACTTTGTTTTATACTATGTAGTGATTTCGTTAGAGAGACGAGTTCAAGGCCTGACGAGATTGGTATGAAGCGTTTGGCGCGATAACTTGAAGCGAAAATCTTAATTCCGTTTGGGTAACGTAGGAACACGAATTGAGGTTGGTCACCGATATTGAACTGTACAATCAAGATTTTTAAATCAGAATGCAAGTTTGCTGTGCGGCAAAAAAATATTTTTTTCCCCGACCTAATCGTTGGTAGCCTAAGGGGGTAATCCAACTTCACGCGGACTGGTAGGTGAGCTCACGGGCTCAACCTGACAGAATTGCTGACACTGACCCTAGAAAGAACAGTGCTTCGCTGAATCTACTACCGGATCGAAATCGCGACGCACTAAGATAATCTGGCGAGAAACTTAGTGATTGTGTCTATGGCCTAGTTCGCACGTCGAATTCTTCGAGTTCTCGATCAAAGTCGCCTTCCTAGTAGAACTCGTAGTTGACAGTAAAAAAGTATTTTTATTACACTAGCTTCTATTAAGCATTTATGAGACGCCCAAATATATATAAAAAAACAAGTCTAGATAACCAGATTAGCCTATACCAGGACTAGTTTGAGGTAGGCTTAGAATAACCATTCCAGCATAATAGGCAGTCGATAAAATGGCCAGCGCCATACAAGTCTGGGCCTATATATAATCTGGTGGTAATAATTTTTTACTGGTGGTAGGACCTCTTGTGAGTCCGCGCGGGTGGGTACCACCACCCTGCCTATTTCTGCCTTGAAGCAGTAATGCGTTTCGGTTTGAAGGGTGGGGGAGCCGTTGTAACTATACTTGAGACCTTAGAACTTATATCTCAAGGTGGGTGGCGCATTTACGTCGTAAATGTTTATGGGGTCCAGTAACCACTTAACATCAGGTGGGTTGTGAGCTCGTCCACTCATCCAGCAATAAAAAAAAAATCATAATTACCTTTGACTCTAATTTCCTTTAGCACCAGGCTGACAATAATGACGTTCGCTTTGGAAATTAAAATTGTATCACTCAATCTCACAAATCCACACAATATCCATATTCAAAAGACTTGTAGAAATAAATGTTTGCCCTTTCGATTATTAAAATCTTAAAGCAAATGACCGCCATTAGACTGAAAAAAAAAAATTTTTTTTACAGACTTTATGGAGCACTTCAATGGGTCAACATTTAGATCATGTAACAGGAAATCGAAAAACAGACTATTCTTCATTTACTCTGGATCGTTACTACACTATTATAAAATACAAGGCCGCATATTACACCTACAATTTACCCGTTTCCCTTGGTTTACTACTAGCTGAAAATGTGGATGAAAAAATTTATAAATTTGCTCAAGACATTTGCTTGGAAATAGGAACGATGTTCCAAATTCAGGTTAGTTTGTATATAACAAACGATCACTCACTTTTGCTTAGAAATAACTTTCTGAAAAAAACTGGTGGTAGTACCTCTTGTGAGTCCGCACGAGTAGGTATCACCACCCTGCCTGTTTCTGCCGTGAAGCAGTAATACGTTTGGGTTTGAAGGCTGGGGCAGCCGTTATAACTATACTAAGGCCTTAGAACTCATATCTCAAGGTGGGTGGCGGCATTTACGTTGTAGATGTCTATGGGCTCTAAATATGAATTAATTAAACGTTTTATTAAATATAATGTATAATGACCGAAATAATTCTTCTAACCAATCATTATATTCGAAAGAAATGTATAACATTAGTGAAATAAGCAAACTTTATTTGGTAGTTGCTGATTTAAAATTCGCATTAATAATACAATGTGATTTTAGGACGATTTCATAGACTGCTTCGGTGATGAAATAAAAACTGGTAAAGTTGGTACAGATATACAAGAGCGCAAATGTACTTGGTTGGCAGTTCAAGCGCTGCAGCGCTGTACTGAAGCACAACGTACAGTATTCAAAGCCTGTTATGGTAGCAGTGAACCAGCACATGTGGAACGCATAAAACGACTTTACGAAGACCTTCACCTCCCGCAGATATACAAGCATCAAGAAAAAGCGATGTACGACAATATTATAAGACAAATTGAAAATATACCAATAGAGGCCGCCCGCGTTCTCTTTAAAAAGTTGTTGGATATTACGTACAATAGGCAACATTAAGCAATAATATAATATATTCTACACAAAGCCTTTATTTACCACTGTTTGTCTGAGCATGTTAAACAATAAATAACTAAATAAAATAATTTCGAGTTTCAATGTTCAAGATTTCCTTTTGACGTTCTGCCATGCTTAATTTTCTCTCTGATTTTTTAAAATTAAGAGTAGAAGAGTGTTTTGTAATAACGGTAGGGGAGCGACATAATAAATCACTGGGCTGAAAGTGTTCAGCAGCTGTTTGGGAAAGCGTAAGCAGTCTGGCGAAACTCCTATACAAAAGAAATGTTGTATGAAACGAACGTCCTTTTTAATGGCGGCTATAACCCGGTAAAATTACGAAAAGCCGACAGAACTCTGGGATTATATCGGGCTAACTTCTTCTACAGATAGATGGATTACATCAACTGCCATTTTGTCTGTCATTAGTGTCACTAACAAGTAAAAGTCATAGACCTATTAGGTTTCCTAATTCAATGCTTAAATGCCAATTAAAATATTTAGGGGTACCAGATCTCACTATAGACCGCGTAGAGTGAATAAATTGTTGATTTTTGTACCAATTTTAATTGTAAGATAAGTTTTCCCTACCTAATCACTGGTAGTATATGGGACTATTCCAGCTCCTCACGAACTAATAGGTGAATCCTGGGACTCAACCTGAGAGAATTTGCTAACACTCACCGGATCGGAATACAACCTACTGAGTAGATCAATTGATCAATCAGAAGATTAATTGGATATAAGAATCTAACTTATGTGAACTAATATTTTTTATGCATATATAAATAAACAAACTCACAATTCACCGAGTATTAACTGACCAAAGGAGCTCATAGCATTAGTATAGTAGTGTTTGTTAATTTACCTATCAAAATGATGCTGCCTGTAGACAGGTGCTTGTACCTGTATTTTTGTCCTTTTACATACAATTCACAAATCAAAGTTTGTCTTAAGAGAATTCTTATTTAGTAATATTGATTTTCCCAAGCGACTTAAAGTGTATTTTTAGTGACCAAGTGATACAACACAAGTTCAATCTACTGGCAGCCCTGTAAAAATTTTAAACTAAGTATCAAACAGGACTTTTTGGCGGGAACGCGAGGAGTGAGGAGAATTTGTTTTATTTGGTCTATTTAGTGTTTCGTCAGGTTTAAATGTATAATAATTGTGGTTTATTAACTTTATTAACGTCTGTGAAAGTGAACAAATGTGGGAAAATGAAACAAAGCCGCTGACCGTAACTTCTCAGGATTCTCCGAAAATTCCACAGAGAAAATCTTAATAAATAACCACCATTTTATTGAGATTATATTTCATCCTATATCATCTCATCTCATTTCATTTCATTTGATGCCATGTTTCTTAATAATCAACTTCATTTCGTTTCATATTATCATCTTTCATAATAATATTATATTAAAATTAGACATGACTTAAAGGTCTTAGTTATCAGGTCATAATATCCCTTAAGTATCAAACTTGGCCTAAAGGTCTCGTATATATTAAGTGTATAATCTATGGTCTAGATACCAGGCCATAAACACAAAAAAAGTATAGAATCAAACTCGAAAAAAAATTGTTTCGGAGGTAAACACGAAATAATTTAGTACAAACGTTGCAGATTTCTAGTTAAATTTTAAAGAATTTTTTTTCCTTATAATTATAACAAACGATACCTAATCTTCTTCCGCTTATAAATAATTTAGGTTATAGAATTTGTTTAATTCATAGAAATTCTCACTTTATTGGATGTGGAATTCGGTCAGTGAAAGTGAAGAAGTCTCAACATGAACACCACATCGATGTTTCTACGATTAATTAACAGAACAAGAAAAATATATCCAATAAACGGCATAAGGTTAGTTCTTTCATTCAAAAATCTTAATTACTTTCGATAAAGCCGTAGATTAAATTACATTGACCTGTACGTGCATTCTTTTAAGTCATTAAAAAAACAGGAACTTAATTCTATTGCCTTAGAAGCAAACAAGTTTACGGTACAATCACTCATGGGCATCAGAAATCCCATAGACACAGTGAAACTATAACAACTACTTTTTTTGCCTACCTATTGTCAGTAACCTGAAGGGCTCTTTACCAACAACCCTCAAACTATACACATATCTCGCATGAGGCCCCAAATTGGATTTTCTTGATTATTCTTTTCAAATTGAATATTTTAAATTGTGAATGCTTCAGTTTAGAAATATGATTTTTGTTTTTATTGCTTAGATGTGTGGACGAGCTCACAGCCCACCTGGTGTTGAGTGGTTACTGTAGCCCATAGACATCTACAAAGTAAGTGCGCGACTCACCTTGAGATATAAGTTCTAAGGTCTCAGTACAGTACAGTACTCATAGTTACAACGGCTACCCCACCCTTCAAACTGAAGCGCATTACTGTTTCACGGCCGAAGTAGGCGGGGTGGTGGTACCTACCCGTGTGGACTCACAAGAGGTCCTACCACCAGTAAAGTGGTAGGGTGTTGTTAATAGGAGTATAGGACAATGTGGGCCCGCAAGTGTAGCTCTGACTATTTTTGCCGCAAAGTAGTAACCATACAATACCAGGTGGCCCAAGAGCTGGTTTGCCTCTGAAAGCAGTAAAAAATTAATAAAAGTAATGAAATATGAAGAGTAAGTAAAATTAAAATACGTCTACAAATTGCACATTATACTATAAGAAATTCACCACAATTAGCTCATAATGAAAATATAAGAGTACCACAATGTGCTTTATATATTTTTAGAGAATAGTTTTTTCCCTTAATGTTATCACATTGTAATGTTATCACATTGTAAGGTTATCACATTGTAATGTTATCACAATATATCCATTGCTAACAGGAAAACCTTTAAACCCCACATTTAAAACTGCTTTTAAAAAAGAATATTATTGGGCAGAAATTTTGTTACCAAGCTGAAATTACAATTGTTATTATATCAGACAATATATAAGATATAGTGCAGTGTAAAAATTAAAACTTGTATTACTGGTTGATTCTTCAACTACATAAACATAATCAGAAACAACTGTATATCATATATTATTTTATAACTATATATTATCAATATACTATTCTAATCTAAAAAATATAGAAAATATACTTTATGTGTAATTTCATCCCTAAAGGATAAGTTAAGCCTGATTTTGTTTTCGATTCTGGTAGGGCATTCTGATCCTTTACCGCTAAGTAACACACTCTGCATATTGTTACCACAACGCGTCATGTGTACTGATTTGCAGAGTAGAAGATGTAATAAATAAAAATATTGCTTATATCGGTGAATGAGCTCACCGCCCACTTCGTGTTAAGCGGTTACCTTAGCCTGTAGACATCACGTCAATGCCGTCACTCACCTTGAGATATGGCCGTTGCACTGTAAAACTGAGACTAAGTCCGGCTCACGCTTGAAACTGGAATGCATTATTGCTTCGCTGCAGAAATATCCAGGCTCACAAGACGCCCCAACACCAGTAATTACGCAAATTATACGTTTTGCGGGTTTTATTTTTATTACGCGATCTTATTTCGTCATATTCGAAGTCATTCGTGAATTTGTGTTAAGTATTTCATTAGAAAAATTGATACCTGCCTGCGGGATTCGATAGCCAACACAATTGCTTCGCTAGATACGAATGCACCGAGAGTGTATTCTCTTTTTAGTCACGATGACTTCAACCCAATTTAGACCTTATGTATTTAGACGTGAGGATGTGAAAACCGCCACCCACTTTAAGATATAAATTCGAAGTCTGAATTGCATTACACAACAGCTATCCGGTCATCGAATCTGGTACACAACACTTTTCCACACCTATTTGTTTAGTGTGAATTTTTTAACGTTCTCGATAGCGTAAAAGTTACTTAACTCAAATTTGTATGCAGTTGGAACAGCACCTCTAGCGGCAAACGTAGGCAAACGCTCCAAACTCCATACAGATTTGAGTTAACTTTTACGCTATCGAGAACGTTAAAAAACTCCCACCAAGCACGCTGACCTATCGTTAGGAAGGCCCAGTCCAAGAACCCATCCAGTTTTATTGCCATAGCTATAACTAATATTTGCATTTCTGTCTTTACTGACGATTTTATGCTGTGCTCTCAAAATATGTATATTTTTTTTGGCGTGTAGTTTTCAATCGGCTGGATGCAGGTGTAGTTCAGCATATGCAGCTAGTGTTTCGCAAATAGCAAAAGAAAGGGAAACATTCCAAGATGCCTGGAAAGGTATTATCGACAATCTAACGACAAATAAGAAATTCACACAGCTACCAGAACTCGGAAGCTGGGTTAAAAAGGTGAATACACAACATATGTATTTAAAAATATGCAACACGAACAAAGATCACAGCTTTCTCAGGTTTTCAAGATCTAATCTCTGTTTAAAAATAACTATACGCTTATCTTTTGTAAATTTTTTTTTTGTGCCATACAACTTTATGCTTAAGGACGTGTTATGTGAAGTCATGTGCTTCAAAACAAATGTTTTTTTAGGTTTTAGAATACAATGTCAAAGGTGGTAAGAAAATCAGGGGCATAACAACGGTGCTCGCTTATGAATTATTCGAGAAACCGGAAAACGTTACCGAAGAGATGGTGAGGTTAGCACGTGTCGCCGGTTGGTGTACGGAAATGGTAAGCTTATACAATTAAGTACGTTGCAGTTTGATTTTTTTTTTTTTTTTTTCACCATAATGGCCTTTTCTGCCGCGAAACAGTCATTAGTTCTGATTTTAAATTGTCATAATAAAACTGTAAAAAGTGCAATTGCGGCTTCAACGCCTCTAAAGTCGGCGCCTCTAAAGTTGAGGCGCTTATGACTTCTAGAAGTCGTTTCTAAACTACGCAGTCAATTTTAACGATTAGCGATAAATAATTAAGGTATACTCAATATGATTTGTAAATGCTTTTATTTGTACAATGTAATTTCTAAGAACTTCTATATCATCAGAGAGGTGAGCGGCAAAATAGCTTAAAAAAAATTATGAAAAATTACTCAAACAAAAATTCGAGATTAAATAGTAGTTTTTTTTTTATCTTGTTCACGACTCGTAAATACCGAAAATAGCACATTAACAAATAATACATTAACAAATTCAATTATAATTTATATTTAATTTGCTTCAAAAACTCCCAACTTTATATAAAAAAAGATTGTCTTACGCAAAAAAATTAAACTCCTTGCTTTTTTGTGTGCATCATACATCTATACTAATATATAAATCTACACTGGTTTTTACGGATGTTGTTATAACTACTGAACCATGCATCCGATTGACTTACTTGGTATCCATGTAGAAAATACGTGTACTTAATGGATAGGCTAATATTTATATGAGTGTTATAATAATGACAATAAATAATAATGTTAATTTTAAATGCCCAGCGAAGGGGCGAGTACGTCTAGTAATATCATAAGATGTATCGTGTCCACTCAGCTGCAGGCGTACTTGATAATGAACGACGATATAATGGACGGGTCGTCGACCCGGCGCGGGGTCCCGTGCTGGTACCGCATGCCCGACGTGGGCCTCGGCGCCATCAACGACGCCATACTCGTCTACGGTTCTATATACGAAATACTCAAGATATATTTCGGGAAAGCTAAAGAATACGCAGACATCCTGGACATTTTCAACGAGGTACGTTCGTTTTTCGAATATTGAAGTCTTTTTTTATTGCTTAGATGGGTGGACGAGCTCACAGCCCACCTGGTGTTAAGTGGTTACCGGAACCCATAGACATCTACAACGTAAATGCGCCACGTAAAAGTTCTAAAGTCTCAAGTATAGTTACAATGGCTGCCCCACCCTTCAAACCGAAACGCATTACTGCTTCACGGCAGAAATAGGCAGGGTGGTGGTACCTACCCGCGCAGACTCACAAGAGGTCCTACCATCAATAATCTTAAACAATAAATACAGTCCACGCTCAATTACCACAACGCATTGGAAATTGATTTGAATGTTTTGATGTGGCTCACTGATATTTTTACGTTCAGACACTGAATATGTATGTCAATAGAAATGTCCGATAACCGTTTGACAGGCTCTTCTCTATACGAGCATGGGACAGCATTTAGATTACGCCATGGCGCACCGCAACAAACAAGACTACAGTCTGTTCACGACGGAGCGATACTATTCCATCGTTAAATACAAGACCTCGTATTACTCAATCAAGTTGCCGGTTTTTCTCGGCTTGATCTTGACCCAGAACGGGCAGAATGCGCCTATCGAAGACATTGAAGGAATATGTTTTGAGATAGGCAAGCTGTTTCAAATTCAGGTACGTATTATTATTTTATTTTTTTTAACGAAACAGTAATATTTTGTATAAAGAAAACGAGAACGGTGCTTCACGATTTTGTTTCCCTTTGCGCACGCCGATAAATACGTATATATAGATAGTGACGCGTTTAAAGAAAGTTGATGAGAAAATGTTCAAATCTTGTGGTGTCCGTTGACTATGGTCTAATTTATTCGACTGATATGAATACAAACTTATAAAGGTTTTTCGAGAATATTCAATAGTAGGTAGCGACTTGACTGCGTCCTTGGCATAGCTGACGTTTCATGAACAACGGTAGTCACTCAATAACCCGTGGGCTGTGTATGCTCGAAGGCCTACTAGAAAAAAAAAAACATCAATTGAGGCGCGTTAGTGAGTTCTATCCTTCTACTAAATCAAGCAAAATTTAGAGGAAAAAAACTTGTGTTTCATACTCAGTAGAAGTGAAACTTGAAGTTGAGAAGTATTCTTATTTCATTCTCTCTCAGGCTAAATGTTATAGATGTGTATCTTTGTCTCTTTTTTTGCGTGTCGCCTACATACTAACAGTAGCCTCAAGAGGCTATTCTGGCTTGACCGGGTGTGTAGACGAGCCCGCCAGGTTCAGCCAGTGAGACTTTGCTATCATTAACTCTAGCATAAGCAGTGTTAAATCTACCACCGGATCGAAATCGCGACCCACAGAGAAGATCCGTAAATACCAAATCGATCATAATGATATTTTTTTGATCTATATCATAATCATAAATATCGATCAAAAAATATCATTTGATCTTACCTGCATAGGTAGTAAGGTCACGAAAAACAATATTTTTATTAATAAAACATGATGTATGTACATCATAAACAAACTTGTATGTGATGTACCTATGTACAGCATGTTTTATTTTTCAAAAATCTTGTCGTGTCTACTTCCACCTTTCTTTTTAATCAGCTTGACGACGTTACGAAATCTATCGAATCGCTAGTACTACACATATTTCTCTCATACAGGACGACTTCATGGACTGCTTCGGCAACGAAACGGTTACAGGGAAAAAAGGGACCGACATCCAAGAAGGCAAGTGCTCTTGGCTGGCGGTTAATGCATTACAACGATGTGACGAAGCGCAACGAAAGCTGTTTGCACAGAATTACGCGAGCAAAAATACAGACGACGTCGCGTCGATAAAGCGACTTTACGAAGACTTGCAGTTGCCCAAGCTATACAAAGAACAAGAGGACGAAATACACAGCGGCATCTTAAAGAAGATTAACGCGCTACCCCCTAGTACGTCGCCTGCGATTTTCTTTAAACTCCTCGATATGATATTCAAGAGAAGTTATTAATTCGTTCTCGCGTGTTCCAGAATGGGGCTAGTCATATAATATTGTTGAGCATGAATGTTCAACTATTTATTAAAATTCTTAACAGTTAGTGATTCCAATATGTAGTAGAGTAGGAGGAAATAGACGGGGATAAAAAAAAAACACTGAAAATGTGAAAAGATATAAAATTTCCGATAAAAAAGAATATGTTCCTTTGTTCAGGGATGTATGAAAATGCGCTTATTTCAGAAATTAAGCGAGCCAGACATAATGGGAAAAACAACACGCTGTACTTTCATGGCATGGCAGCTATGGGTCTATTTAATTTCTGTGTAATTTAAAAAACAACCATCCGAAAAACCTTTATAAAATACGAATAACATTTTACAGTTGTTGCATTTAAGCTAAAAAAATAACTTTGTTGTAAGGTTATATTGATATAAATCTTCACTGCAGTATGAAATTTAACCAATGAATAAAGATCCCACGCAGAACTTTCATTCAGCATTCAAAAAAACTCCGTGCTTGTAGATTGTATAAAAAATCTAATCTTGATACATAATTGACATTCTGTCAGAGTAATTTTTAATAATTTTACTAATTGAACCTCATAACGTTTAGAAGGCTGAAAACACTGATAAAGTATTCGGAGTTTGCGCGTTTATTGGAAACATCTCAAAAATTTGAAATCGGTTGTTCTTATTTATACAAACACATAAATATTTTTTTGACCTATAAATAGTTATATATTCCACCTTTTTAACAATATGTGAATTCAACGACACGCATCGGAAGTCTATTTCTCGGAAATACAATAATAAAATGTGGTTTAAAAAAAACTCAATAAACCTGAGGGAATTTTAATTGGCGTACACTGATATTGAAAAAACTACAAGTTTTATTATTACTCGTCTCAAATTTGCGCATTCTATTTTATAAGACAATTGTTAAATTTAGTCTTACGATTTTAATATGTACGTAATATAAAATAAAAACCGGTCAAATAAAAGTAATTAAAGTTAATTCATCACGATATCTAATTCTAATCGCATTTAAAATGAACAATAAAACAGTTAAGCCTTTTCACGTGTGCAGTTCTAGATACGCCGTGCCTCGTAGAGTCAATCAGTGAATGAACGAGTGAACGAATGAATGAACGAACATATAAGTACACTATTCACTATCCTTCATCTTTCGTAGTGTACGACGTATCGGGTCTTGCGTTCATACTATTTCAAAATGACTGCTCTGTTGCAATGGAGTGATCGCTTGAACCATGTATTAATCAGGAATAAACGAAAGAGCTTATACTTTTTTTTTTATTATCCTTGTAGGCAAGCGATCATACGGCTATGATGATGGTGAGTGGTTACCGTCACTCGTGAACTTCAGCAATACCAGGGACAAAGCCATCTACCAGAAGCCGACTTATAGCGCTTGTCGATTAGTCGGTAGACTGGTGCACGCGGAAAGACACTCAGATTTCATCATCATCATCATGCTTTCCTATTACCCTCTGCTAGGGTGTAGGGCTCGAATCAAATTTTTCCATTTATATCGGTCTTGGGCAGTCTGTTCTAGCTCCTCCCGCGTCATGCCCAAGACCCCTAGCTCCTGCTCCACCGAGCGACGCCAAGTTGTTCTGGGGCGGCCTCTCTTCCTTTTACCAGATACTTTCCAGGTCAGTGCTCTCTTTGATAGGTGTGTATCGGGCTTTCTCAAAGTTTGATTTACGGAAAATAAATAAATAATATCTAAATTGTTAAATTTAAACGAATAATCGTTCGCGTTCGTGAGGAACACGGGTAAATATATTTTAATTCTAGCTATGATATAATTCATTATATACTTAGATTGTAAAATGTAAAATTAATAAAATAACGAAGGTACATTTTATATTTTTATACGCATTAGAACGATAAGTATGGATGGTGGTAAATGGTTATAGGAAAATGATATTTTTTTTGTTTTTTGTTGTACTAATAAATTATTTTATTGTGGTGAAAGTATTAAGCATGTTAATTGTGTGTAAATAATAAATGAATTATTGAGAATTAAGATTGGTTATTTTATTTTATAGTGTGGAGACTATTAGAAAATTTGAGAACGCGATAAATATTGAATGAAAATAAAATTCATTTAAAATTTACTCGTGTCATGTCATCGAGCTAAACAGGCAAAAGAGAAGCTTAAAGTAACTGCTTGGAAAATGAAATATATTTCAGTGTGTTTCAGTTCTCCTTAAACTATATTAGTAGGATTTTGCATACCATAAATATCTCGAAATATTTTGTCATCAAATGACTGCAATAGCTATTATACCTACAAGAAGCCGGCCCGAACCCGAAACAGAAAAAATGCTCCTGTGGTTACGTAACTGAGCCGATTTGGTGTAATTGTTTTCTTTTTAATAAGATGAAATTCGTGAATACTGGTGAATACAATAACGGAAGTACAGCTGACTATCGCTCCCTTCGTACCGATATGTACATGTAATTTCTTACATTACGTGTTAGGCAAAAAAAACCATTGCTAAATTATACTTCGGTTGTCGTCATCTCGTTAGTACCGGAGCAGAGTTCATCCACACCACCCAGAACCACTTCCTTCACCCACGGTGGGTTTCCAGAGATCCGATTTGCGATGTACTATCTGGCTTTGGAATTAACTAGGAACTAACTAACCCTCCTCGCTGTTTCTGTTTCCCGAGCTCCACGACATGACGATCTTCAGACAAGGTTTGTAGAGTGTAGTCAGCGGTAGGCATTAGTTTGGCATTGCTGACGTCATGAGCGACCAATAATCATCAAATAGGTCTTACGCTCGTTGCCTGCCTTCTTAGGCAAAGCAATTACAAAAAAGTTGATTGGTTTCGTAACATTCACTAGCTCTCCTGTTTGACTTATTTTGTGGATCAGTTCCAATACAGCCTATATGTGGTTTTGTTCCAGAGCCCTTGAATTGGATTTTTAATTTGTAATAAAAAAAATAACGAACTGAAGTGACGACTGATATTATTATGATAAAACTAAACAAATGCGTAATTCAATTGTTTCGTTTTTTATTTATTTCTTTTGATAGTATCATGTTTAGATAAATAATTTGTTTTAAAATATATTAAATTAAACAAGCAAATTTTTAAACATCGAACCGCCGCCGTCTTGCGAATGCGATTACGGTTATTAATCGGCGACTTTTAAAAAATTTTAAACTTTTGATTACTTTTAATTATTGAACAACCAAAAGCAATGCATTCATTAAAATGAAATTGGTTTAGTGACTATTAGTGTATTTAAGTGATTGGAGCAAAAACAACACCAGTATTAAAGGTTATGAAATAAAATAAGATTTGTCTATCATAGTATAATCCAAAAATATAATGTTATACATAACATTGCTTTCGTGTAGTGAAGATATTATACATACAATAGCTTAACAATCCCAATTTATACAGCCATTCACAGTTTAACGTTAAATCTATAGTATGGAAAGAAATATTGGTACATACATGAACAAATTACACCTAAAAGGGTTATAAAAAATTAAATAGGCGACCTTAATATTTAAAAACTGCATTGAAAATTTTAACTGAGTCTCGCATTATGATTTACCTACTACAAGACTTGTGTTCAGTTTTTTTTTTTTGCAGAGCTCAATGTTTTTCCGCACGTACAGCTATTAACATACTGCCTGATTTGACTGTGAAACAATTGTGTACGGTTTGAGACAGGTGGGACATCTGTTAGAATACCTCGTGTCATTCAACTTGCTAACTCTATGAGCTCCGTAATTTTTTATGGCAATAAAATCATTCTAATGTAACTGGAACAACCGAATAGAATATCTCAAGGGGAATGCACGTTATGGTGTCTTCGGGGTACTTCAAGTAACTGCTTATCATCATATGGGCGGTAAGCAGCTCGTCTACTTAATTACGCAGATAAAAAGCTGAAATATACAAAAATGTATACATACCTACTTAAATAGATAATAAACTATGTTGAATAATGTGAACACCACCTACAATGTATTTATTAAAACTACAAATTACATTAATATCATATTTTGCTTTCCAGAGACGCCGCTTTGTTTACAAAAATTATAGTCGTGTGTCTACATGTATGTGCTAATATAATTTTGACTAGTAAGCACCAATTTACTAATATTTATCAATATATTATTATATTTCACACAAGTATTCTTAAATTAAATATTTACACTGTTCGATTCACCAAATTTAAACGAGCAAATCTTAAAACAAGTCTTCCATAACTATAATTAAACTTAAAACATTTTGAGCGTCAATACAAGCAATAAAAAATAACGTGTGTGACTTAAAAAACCCAGTGTGTATTATTTAGAGATAATCTAAAACATCGAACGTTGAAGGTATACGTATGTAAATGACGTTCAAATTAAACTTTTTTTTCTAAATCTAATCGTGTCATTCGGTTGTAAATCGATGCTTTTCTTATATCGATCATCCCTAGCATCAATTGTCCTTTTTTTTCAATGTGAAGAAACCAAATTCCGTTCAGCATACCATGACCGGTCCTTAGACTTTAGTACAAAAAAGCGCATATCATATTATCTCTTTAGCACCTTTGACTTTATGATATTTTTTTGTTAATTATTATAATATATAAAATTAGTATTCTATTATAATTTTTTTTAACACTTGTAGTTTACCTATAGGCACAACCGGTCAAATGAACTGGATCACAATTTATTGCCTTTTAGGGTTATCATATAAAAAAATATGATGCAAATTAATATTCGACAAATATTGCATTCAATTTGTTGCTATTTCGGCAAAATATTTGCTTAGTTATTTGAATGAAAATAATTGTGATTAAAATTTCAGAAAAGTAATAAAATGATCCGACAGAAAGCAACATTTTAGTGTAAGAAAAGGTTAATACAGTATATAATATCTTATCAAGATTTTATCAGATTTATTTTTACCCAGAAGAATATCCCAGGAAAATATGTCTTGTGCGTTACAAGTACTTTTCAATCTCTTTAATTACGTTTGTGTAAAGGCCTGGATTTTGTACAAGCAAACGACCTGAGAAAACTTATCGAGAAAAAACTTTTTCCTTACTCCAGTTAGCAGTTGAACTTGCCGCCAACCTTCGAGAAGTTCATGAACAACCAAAAACAACAACTAAGACGAAAGGATCATCGCTTAAGTTTAAAGATTGTTATCAAAGATAGTCGCGGAAAAAATATTTAGGTTATTTTTTTGTTTAAGTTATTGGCACGAAAATAAATGTGTTCTAAATGTGAAAAATATATTTACTTACGGAAAAAAGTTTAGTAAAGAAACGTATTAAATTAAAATCGTTATCCGTTCCATTTTCGTTTAATTAAATAATAATGATTCATATTTCATACATTCAATCGGAAAAGATAAGGACCGGCCATCTGACTTGCTGTGGTACGAATCGGTATGCATTAAGTGTAGGCATGTAAAGTGTTAAATCAAAGGGCTAATGCGAGTTTCGTTTTTTAACAGAAACAAAAAAGTCGGTGGTAAGATAATGAAATTGTTACGTGGGCAAATAAAAAATCACGAGGTGTTAAGAAAATTCAAAATACATGTAATAATGATAATAATATGATTATATTATAATCTATTTCGACTTAAATGAAGTTTAGAGGATGAATAAATGTCTTTTCTTCTCAGTCGTGGTCTATGATAAATTTGATGCTTTTATCAAATTTATCATAGGCATATTACAGTTTAGACAGATTCACAATCTTCTTCACAAGGCATCAGTATTATTCCTCAAAAAATTATAGTAACTCGGGGAAGGAAGAACATTCCTTCCCCGAGTTACTTTAGCAAAGGTAATACTATATATACTCTTATAACAATATGTTTATTATTATGTTTATTATATAACATAAGGCTTAAATATGGTGCTTGCTTTACGATGCGACAATTAGCCTCCATTTTAATTCAATGTTGCCAATTTACAAATAATATAAGATGCCAATCAAGATGAAATAAACTGTCATAGTTTCTTTAATGTATAAAATTATTTTTTAATATTCGCGTTTTGATCAAAAATAGCTGACTACAAAAAACCAGCCTCCATTTACAAACCTCGTCTTATTATTTAAAGTACGGTTTACAAAGATGTTGCTGGAAGGAAAACATGGAAAATTCTAAATATTTCTATTGTTATATAATTAATACATTTCTAAAATCGCTTGCCTCTGCCTTGCTATACGAATCTATATTCCCATGAAGCAAACCGGCAAAAGCTCTAAACATAGAATCTCGTATTTTATTGATTTAAGACATCAAACCACAAAATGATATCTTTTGTGTACTTTTATATGTATTTATATTTATTATATTGTTTTCCTTCCAAAAAACCTTATTTCCGCTTAAACCTTTAAATATCATATCAATAGATACAATAAGTTTCACTTTGACAATTCTAATTGCTAGGAGTCTAATTTACACGATATTTTACTCTTTACACTCTACTGGTTTATCGGCCGTCTGGTGTAGTGGTAAGTGACATGGTCACTACACAAGGAGGTCGCGGGTTCGAATCCCGCCAAGGTAGGATATTTGTATGATAAATATAAAATGTCTTTTCCAGGGTTATAGATGTATACTAAATATATGTATGTGTATAATAAAAATCATACATTTATTTCCGTTACCTGGTACCTGTAACACAAGTTCTTTATGAACTTAGCACGGGCAGTTGACGTGGCGTGATCGTTAGTAAATATTTATTTTTTATTTATTTATTTATTATAATGCAGTTTCCTCGATGCTATAAACACGATGGAACTTTTAAAAAACGTACCGTAAGTCTTTTTGCGTTGTGCTTCTGTAGTCCTTCTCGATCATTCCGGATCGTTCTGCGGCGTTATGACGGGCAGCTGTCGCGCCGCGTTCAGTCGCCGGTGAGCCTCGGAGCCGGTGAGGGCGGCCACCGTGACGCCGGCCTGGTACGAGGCCGGGACGCGCACGTGCCGAGTCCTCGTCGAACGCTCCACCCAGCCGGCGGCTCGCCATTCCCGTATTAAGTTCACGACTTGACCTGTCAAATGCGAAGTAGGTACGATGCATTCCGGTAATCGACCGGTACGAGAGCCGTTTTACCTCTTGTGGGTCTGCACGTGAAGCAGTAATGCGTTTCGGTTTGAAGGGCGGGGCAGCCGTTGTATGTAACTATACTTGAGACCTTAGAACTTATATCTCGAGGTGGGTGACGCATTTACGTTGTAGATGTCTATGGGCTCCGGTAAACACTTAACACCAGGTGGGCTGTGAGCTCGTCCACGCATCTAAGCAATAAAAAAAAAAAAAAAAATACTGTTGGTAGGACGTGTTGTGAGTCAGCACGGCTAGGTACCACCACCCTTAATATTTCTGCCGTGAATCAGTAATGCGTTACGATTTGAAGAGTGGGACAGTCGTACTATACAACTGAGACTTCTAACTCATGTCTCATTGTGGATAACGCAATGACATTGTTGATGTCTATGGGCTCCGGCGACCACTTACCACCAGGTGTGCCTTGAACTCGTCCAACCATCTAAGGAACAAAAAATATCAAAGTAGAAAAAACATGGAACATGCAGAACACACGAGAGAACAGAAGTCCATTTGTAGGCTGAGAGGTATAATAGGTTGGGGAAAAAAACTTCTTCCCATTTTGTGGTAAGTGGTTGACATCAAAATTTCCGGATTGAAAATGTTTAAACCAAATTTATGCTTCTCTCACAGACACTTCACTAGGTCTAAAACATCGCTAATCTTTTTCGCGGCTTGCGTGCATTTTTACCTTTTTTGTAGTACAATTTTAAAATGTATTGAATTTCTTCATTAAAATCACTAATCTTGACAGTACGAAAAAAAAAATGACACTTTTTCCTAATTTGAATTTGGAATTATCTTCTTTAAAATTTAAACTTTTAATGATACCAAAACCAGCCAGATACAAATAGTATAATAGCCAAAGAGATTTTATTACAACTTCATACATACTATAATATAATGCGAAAAGACTTTTTCCCCAACCTATTAGATTATGTTTATTTCAAAAAAAAAAATTATTACAATCAAACTCACCAAAGACATTGTACGTGTGAAACCGCCGATCTGGCACAAACATGAGCGGCGTGAGGTCCGTGTCAGGTGTGTATCTGCTAAGGATGTCGCGGCTGCGGACTAACAGCACTGACGGCGACACCAGTCGGGCCCACAGGACGTGCTCGCGGACACACTCCACGGGATTACACAAGTAAACCCCTCGCGGTGACACCCCAAACACCATCTGATGGTGCCACGCATCTGGCAAGTCTCCTTGACAGCCCATCTGAAGATTTAGCGTTAGGATCGGTATTGCTCCTGGAAAGACAAAAAAAACATTTGCAATGTTATGAACTTCTCAAGTAATGAAATCGTTATGGGACTGACATAAATCATGACATGACATAAATGATATGTTAATCTAAAGACATACAGTGAAAAAAATCTTAAGCTCAAAAGAAACAAGTACATTTTTTTATTACTTCGTTCTTATTAATTTTATTTGGTAGTCGCGATTTCGAATACAAATAACCAGAGTAAGTCGTATTTTTTAAAAGCCAATTAAAAGTCTATTGGCCATTCCACACAAATCTGTATTTATGGCTTGAGTGTGGCCAGACTTCGAACGCCTTATTCCCAATTATTCATTTACTGAGATATAAGTAAATTATTACCTAAACTTATCCAATCAGCTAACCAGTGCGAGAGCGAGACGGCACGCTCAGGATAGGTTGGAAAAAACCTCGCCGTGACCAGGCCGTCAGAAGCTCTCTGTATGCCGGTGATCAAATCAGCTGCAGTGCAACCGGCGACCGCGCGGCTTAAAATGTACCTAGAATTAATTACTTACATATTATTCTAGTACCTCAATCCTCAAAATTATTTTCTAAGGTAATTTCAATGGTTTATTTATCGCAAAATTAGACTGAAAACAGTAACCTTGGAAATAGTAAAATATTCATTTCGCGCGTTATTAATTTCACATAGTACATAGAATTATAAAGTATTTAAATTAATATTGAATTAATAATAAAATGAATAAGACAGTGAGGGAATGGTGGCCAAGATTAGGTCGTAGAGGTACCGGAGGTCTCAGTGCGCGATGGACTAATGGACAGTTATGATGGGTGGACGTGGATAAAAATGGGGGGCGATCAAACAATTCGACATGAAAAAGGGTAGGTCTATACCCAGCAGTGGGTATCATAAATAAACGTAAATAAAACAGCGAAAGAAATTTCATTCTAAAAATGATTTTAAATGCCTAAATGTCTAAGATAATTGTAGGTCTACTACTGTCGGATAAATGTGTTATATGAGATATACTTATGATAGTTAAAATTACACTCCTGATGTGTATTCAATGATAATGAAATAATGAGTTATCTGGCTTCATGAACATTTTGTATAAATTATTAACTTCTATCTAGTCTCTGGCAATACAAAGTTTGTTTACTTTTTGGAATTTCTTTAGATGAGTAGATACGTTTTTTTTGGTCTTGACTTTTAATATAATATATTTAGGTATCAAAAAACAATAAATATCATCACACAGATGGATACATACTTTAGATATAATTAAAATTTTAAAAGTTTAACTCATGCATATTGTATTATATAATTACAATGGGTACCAGTGGTACAACCTTATGCCTTATAACTATAACATTAAGATTAAGGTTGTTCAATAGTTATCTTTTGTACACGTTACCTTGGTATTGGTGCATTGTTAGCTCTTAGTCTTGTACCAACAGCTGAGGTGATTTTTTCTATATTCACTGGCACACCCAGAGCAATCTGAAAATTTTATTAGTTTTTGTTGATGTTTGGTCGTCGACTATCGCCTCGACGACCCGTCGGTCGGGCGTCCTCGGGGTGGCGCCGCGTGTCTGGTTGTAGTGTTGACCGCGGGGACCCCCCTACTCTGTCCAGGTTCTGACCCCGGACGGAGATCGGACGTCGGGTGTAAGAGTGCAGGGGAGTCGTTTAGTGGGTGGGCCTTAAAATCCTTGGGCCCGCGATCTGCTCTCAACACCTGCAGATCGTTAAGTCTCACATACCCCGCGCGCCACCTAGGCGCGGGGACCTCGTAGGAGGTTCGGCCCTCTAGCCGAAAAAAAAAAAAAAGGTGGTAGATCACAGATAACTAGTGTGATACACCTGGCCTCTTGAGACATTATGTCCATTCCTATCTACCTTTTACATATTNTAGTGTGATACACCTGGCCTCTTGAGACATTATGTCCATTCCTATCTACCTTTTACATATTTTTCACCTTCAAACTAGGTTAAACATTCTCAATAATAATTGTGAATACAGCATACCCAAATTTGATCATTGTTCATTTAAGCTAATTATTGTTTAATCCACTCACAAAAACATTAATAACTGCTGTCGCTCCACAAGCTGAGGTGCCGATTTGTGTGACCTGCCGCTCACAGGCTTCTCGCTCTGACCAGACCATGCAACGTGGTAGCTCCGCACATACATTACTTGAAGTTGTTGCCTGTTCGGTTGTGTCATTCTCCTAAGAATTCGAAATTAAATTAAAAAAATTCAAAATTATAGTAAAACATTTTCAATTTTATTATAATAACATATCGACGCTTGAAAGGCAAACGTGACTAAGCGACAATAACTGCTTTGTACATAAATGAAAGGCAATAACCATATTCTGTGTGCAAAAAAAATATATTTCTAGGTCTATTAAAATCATTTTAATTCTACAGCTAGATTCGTTAAAATAGAATTTTTTTCAGGTATTTCTCAGGTATATTTTAAATTAATTTCAACTTCAAATTAGTCTACTGTAAAGTTCACACATTGTCGCTTAGTCATGTTTACCTTTCAAGCATCGATATTATATATTTATTTTTCTATATTCTTGGTTTGTAAATAGTAGTCATAAAACATTTAAATTATATTTCATACATACTCATCAACTAAATTGCGCAAGCATAAATTTTTTTTGAAAATCTGGTAATTTAAGTTTGTAGATGGGAAACCTTATTTATAGTTCTCCATGCAAAGACCTGTTATCGTAGGCATGTTTTGCAAAGCAAAAAAACCATCGAGACCGTAAATTAGTAATCTATATTCATCATATAGTATAACTGTGGAACATAATCTTACACAAGTGTCTAGCAAAGAGAAAAACAAAAGTTATTTAATTATATTTTGAATTACATATTTTACCTTTGTTGGAATGTGACTATCACTGTCTGGTTTCGTCTTTTCTCCTGTAGAATTTTTAGCTATTTTGAGATGGTATACGGAAGATAAATTATTGGGATCGACTCTTCGTGAGTGTCCTTTGTGGTACTCATATAAAATACCATCTGGATATTCTTCTTCATCACCTAGAACATTAACTTTTATCTTTATCTATTCTTAAACATTAAGCAGGCCGAATGCAGGCAACATTAGAGGAAGCTGGTGCAAAAACTGGACCAAGGTGGTCTCGACACTCAGTAATGAGGAAACGACAAAGAAGAAGAAGAAGAATTCTTAAACATTTTAACTCTGTCAGACATTATGACATTATTTTTACCAGAAACCACATCTACAATTGTAGAGGCAAATTGTAAAATTGGTTCAATATTAAAACAACCATATTAAATAATTTCGGATTTCATCTGCATGGTATTCAGTTGGAAATGCACTTTCCTACTAATTAATATAACATAACCAGAAATCAATTGATAAAACTAATATTATCCATATAATATAACTACTGTATATAGCCTTTGTAAATATGTACATATAACCTTTAATATTTATGTTCCATGGTGATATCATGAAAATATGTTTTTTACATAAAGTAAAAATTGTTGGTAAAAGTTGTTTTATTAACAATTAAATTAAAAAAAATACGTAATAATTAAATATTATTAAGTATTTTTTAATCTTATCTATCTAAAGAATTATTTAGTTGCATGATGAGCACACAATAGCAGACCTGTCTCATTGTATGCTATATGCTCTACTGATTAAAAAAAAATTATAAAAAATCTTACTGTTTAACATTTCACTCAGGCAAACCAAGTCTCCAGTTGTTGCATGATGACAGGCAAGCCCACTGGTTGGCCAAAGTGACATAGTCCTGCGGACTAATAATTCCTCTCCTCTTGCATTAGATTGCATTATATAAGGACCATATAAAATAGTTGACTCAACCACATCCCCTTGCCCTGTGTTATCGTTACTTGTAGATGGTATGTCATGTGAATAGGCTTCAAGATCATTGTGCGAAGAAGCACTTGGCAAATTTACTGAGTTAGCTCTGGGAGCTGAAACATTTTCTGGTGAAGGTGACATCATTACTGGTTCATTCTCCTCTGGCATGTTACTAGCTGCTTCTATTTCAGCATCGGGTATGGATTCATCACCAGTATCCATTTCGCAAGAAGGCCCCGGGTCAAAATCCATTTCAAGGAAATCCATATCTGGACTAGAGGCACGTGAACCTTGCTCTCTTTGGCCTTGCTGTGGAACAGGGTAATTTGGCGGCAAGGGTAGATGATTATCCAGTGGCAGCCCCATATCCAAGCTGAAGAATGAACTTGGTAGATCAGCCAAATGCTCACCACCTCTATATGTATATATACAGCCATCTTCAGAGCCTAAAGAATAATCATCATTACCTGTATCACTAGAACTATCATCAGCATCAAAATTAGGCCTGTTGAGTTTTAAACTGGAAGGTCTTTTTCTGCTTTCTCTGCAATTACTGTCAGGTTCATTAACTCTGTTAATACCACTTGTTGAGGGAACGTTAGGGCTGTTGGCAGCCAGATCTTGACAAATCTTGTGTTTTTGACATGACAACACATCTTGGTTGAGCTCAACTCCGTTATCGTACACCTTTTTCGAAGAAATTACGTCTTTGTCGTTACACGAATTCATCTTCACATTTGACTGATTTGTACATACAGTTTTTGAACTCTCTGCGTTACTTTCAGCTAAGCTATTCGATGAAACAACTTCATTATACGATAAACAATTGGTTTGTTTTGATCTAGGTCCGTTTAGCGACAAAAGACTTGAACTTTGATTGGGAGTCGATGTAAACATATTTTCCAAGTTCGTATTGTCACTTCCTTGTACGGGACTCCCTTTTCCTTTTATATCCTTTGCGCCATTACATTCTAAAGTATTTGAGCTTATCAATGACGACGATTCTTGATGAGGTTCCATGATCACAATTCACAAGTATAACGTAACCGTTGTTCCACACTTTAAACTTTATTTAAGGTTGGTTATGCAAAGTAGGGATCAAATGAGTCGATATTCTAAACAAACCCATAACGTTTATAAGTTAAATGCGCCCGGCAAACTACANTTTGCGCCATTACATTCTAAAGTATTTGAGCTTATCAATGACGACGATTCTTGATGAGGTTCCATGATCACAATTCACAAGTATAACGTAACCGTTGTTCCACACTTTAAACTTTATTTAAGGTTGGTTATGCAAAGTAGGGATCAAATGAGTCGATATTCTAAACAAACCCATAACGTTTATAAGTTAAATGCGCCCGGCAAACTACAATAAAATAATTCTAAAATAATAACAAACAAATCCGTAATTTTTATCAAAGAATATTTGACAACTGCTTGACATTTCAGGAAAACATAAATTTTTTTAGGGGATTTTATGACCTGGTAACTAAGACCTTTATGTCAAATCTTATTTGGAAAATGTTCATTACAACTCGACCGAGCTAAGTTTGCACCTCGCTGGAATGCGGCGCTCCGCCCGCTTCCCCGCTCACCTTCCCGTGATCGCCCTGTCGCATCAGTACGGTTAGCATCTTTGTCGCCGACACGCGTCATACGAGCTTTCGTCTCCCTATACGTTGAATTTTAAATTTTTTAACTGTTCTTATTAGGTTTTTTGTTATAGTTTAGTTATATTCCCTGTTTTCCAATTACAGCACTAGAACGCATTATGCGGCATAATGCTCAACGTTGAATGTTCAAACTACAGCAACGCTTCGCACAATCGAGCACTCTCAAGCATAATTCGGTATTGTGCGCCACTGAGTCGCATTATGTCGCATTATGCTCTGTAATTGGAAAACAGGGATTATTGTACTATTTTTGTTAAGTTTTTGTTGAACTGTTGTTACTGAACGCTTAACGTTCATTTTTTTTTACTTTGAGAGGATTATTGTGGGCAACAAAATGAAAGGAAAGGTGATACACAGTGAAGAGAGAAACATCATCCTGAAAAAGAAACATAATGGAAAATTATTACTGAACAGTTGGGATACAAATTTAAAAAGTGCAAGAACGCCCGGGTGGTCTTAATACAAAAACCCGATATCGCTATATTCTAATGTACCTATGTATAATAATAATATATTGTTAAAAACAATAAATGCAAAGTAAAACCTAACAAACATTTGTTTACATTTTAAAGTCATAGCGAATCTCTTTTTCAGACCATACCTAAGTGGAAATGTGAGGTAATCGATGCGAAGTGCAAACTTAGCTTGGTCGAGCTGTGGTCGAGGTGAACTGTGAAAATATGAATGATTTTCTGCAAAAATTGCAGTGGAACAGCCCCGACTCATGAATCGATCTTCATCATTATTGCTCCATGATAACGCGAGACCTCATACAGCACGAGAAATCATTTTAACTCTACAGGAACTGAAATTAGAAACCATTTGTCACCCTCCATATTTGTTAGACCTTGCTCCAACGGACTACCATTTTTTTCGAGATTTAGACAATTTTCTACTGTATAAGAAGTTTTCTTCCCAGGAGGCAGTACAAAATGCTTTCATACAGTTTGTAGAATCTAGATCACCAGAGTTCTATCGCAAAGGTATAATTAATGACCTTCCTATGAGATGGCAACAATGTATAGATAGTAATGGTAGATATTTTTATTAAATAAAAATGTTAAATGAAAAAAAAAATGAATTTCAATTCAGTACAAATCGGAAATCTCATACTTTAACCCCTAATATTTAGAAGCTCTAGTTATTTAACTAAGATACTGTAACGTGGTCGCTGAACTTTAAATAAGACAACCAATCGCCGGATATTGTTGCTCTCCAATCCAATATTGTCCCCAACAAATTAGGGTTACGCTACTCTGGGCCTTAGTGGATAAACTGCAATAAACACCACCAGTCCACCCTGCGACGATGGTTCAATTCAGCTTCTGAATTTTTTACAGCAACTTATAGGGATTTGGATATTTTATTATTTGATTAAAGGCAGATGAGCTTACAATCTACCCAATGATGGCTGTTCACACTAGTGATTACTGGCAATGCCAGATCCACAGCCGAAGGTGCACCACTACCCACTGCTACAAGCCTTGTATGAGTTCATTTCACAGCACAGGAAACTCTGCGGAAAGAAATTCATTTCAGAACTGAATGGCATCTGACAAAAATAATTTAAAAATGTAAGTTTAGTTTTTTTTTTTGCATAAATGGGTGTACGAGCTATCCCCGGATCTCATATCTACATCGTAAATACATGGCGGTACCCACCTTCTTACGTGAGTTCTAAATCTTAGTTAAATAGTACAAAGGCTGCCCCACTCTTGTAACCAGAATGTATTCCTGCTTCGCTGCAGAAATATACAGGGTGGCAGTATTCCTTGATTGTACCCATACAAAGTCATAAAACGCCTTACTACCAGGAATTATGCAAATTATAATATTTGAAAGTTTGATTTTTTTGCAGCCCACGCACTTCCACTGCTTCGGAATTTTATTATCCAATGTTATTCCTGCACCGTTGGGGCTATTCGTGAACGTTGTAAAGTAGGAATTTCACCAGAAAAATTGGTATCTGCATACCGCGACAGGTGTCCGCATCGTTCGATACGAATACACTAGGCGTCTTATCTTTAGACCACGATGACTTCGTTAAAAACTAGGATATCAATACCTACTTCATTAGGTAATAAACACATTCCACTAATACTCATACTCAAACTTGTCGTATTCACGCGCCATGTCATTTCAGATTGAAAATTTAATTTTATTACAACAAACTTAAGCGGTTTTTTGACAATGAAAATTAAATTCGAAATAACATTGCGGAAATTTTCATAGATCATAGACTTCTGGCAACCCTCTTTCGTAATGACAACTGATGACAAATTCATTCAAGTTTCAATCAACCAGCTGTAGATGTTCTAAAATTGCGTATAATTTTGTTAGAAATAATTGAAAATTCGTTTTGTATTGCTACTTATTGAAGGAACTAAATTACTTTTGTAATCCGTTTACTAACATTGTGTTAAAATGGCATACGCCTATCTTTTTAAATACATCATCATCGGGGACACAGGTATTGATTATATTTCCTGAAATTTGTTTGACGTATTTTTGTGTATACCTTTGTTTATTTGCAGCTTTGATACACAGCAATAAAAAAACGTTGACATTGAGACACCTCAATAACAAAAAATATAAATCATGTTTTCTTTAGTATTGCTATTAGTATATAGGCTGGAACCAGGGTAATTGCTATCAGATAATTCCGCCTACGCATTTACGCATCTTCAAAGAAATATTTTAAATGCGTATTAATACAAACCACTAATATTCAAAGATACAGTTCTTAGATGATAGTAAACAACAAATAATGTCTGATGGCTATTTCAAGGACATCCTTTGTTTATTTTCAGCAAATTTTAATTCTGAAATAAATCTTATTTTGCTGTTTTAGCTGACATCTTTGCTATAATATAATAATAATGAACATTAACTTGTAATATGAAGAAAATATATATTTGTAACTACTTGGAAGCTCCCTTTCAATCAATAAATGTTTAATGAATAAACTAAATTCAGTTTAGGTAACATATTTTTTATCAGATTAAGCTTGTGATCATATAAATAATCCAAAAACATAGTATAATAACATATCATAGTATATAAAAAAAGCACTGGCTTCTAAGATATACTTATGCAAAATAGTTTTAAATTAGGGGGCGTAGATATGTACAAAATTTCACATTTATACTTTATATAATTTTACATGATCATATATATTATCTCTGACTGCATGATAAATTAGGATAGGAGTGTAAATTCGACGTACTACTTCACTCTGACAGATGTGAGACTACCTAATTTTGAACTTAATTTTGCTTTTTATACAAGAATCCAAAAAACATAAATGTTACACCTTCAATAGGTCCAAGTTAACATTTTCTCATATGTTATGGGTATTGGAGATAATAAAGATAGCACAAGATAATAAAGAGTAGACTTAGACCAATGTCTTTAATAAAGACTGACTGAGAACCAAACATGGTTACCTCAATATAGTAGTTACTAACTTACCTAACAGTTAGAGACCCTAACTAACTAATGACCTAATGAATAACAAGCTAATTATATAGATTTAACAATAAAATGCCTACCCTATTGAAGAATTATCATCCATCTGATTATACCTAAAACATTAAGTCAATTATCAATACCACCTAAATATATAATGGTGACACTAACACATATACCTCCTCAACTGTCTGGACAAACGACTCGCTAAAGAGCATCATCATCATCATTCTTTCCTATTACCCTTTGCTGGGGTGTAGGGCTCGAATCAAATTTTTCCATTTATATCGGTCTTGGGCAGTCTGTTCTAACTCCTCCCACGTCATGCCCAAGACCCCTAGCTCCTGCTCCACCGAGCGACGCCAAGTTGTTCTGGGGCGGCCTCTCTTCCTTCCTTCTCGCTAAAGATACATAAAAAATAAATAAATAAAACCATTTATTTTGTCCTTTGGTGTTTATTTCTCAAAGTTCATTTACATACATAAAAAGACAGGAATAAAAAAGATAAGCACGAAACTCTGTATTGTTTTGTTACATGTATCAATGAGTTCAATAAACAGTCATCATAAATATTAAAACAGAATGAGTTTGTAACATTTTAAAAATTAATATGCAAACATGTAGTAAGTAGTCTCATGAACAATGAAATAGTGAAAACATTGAAAGTGGAGCATATTTACTTTCATATTTTGCATTTAATTAGAGATTTAATTGAAGAAAATTGTAATTTCAAAAAATGTTATAGTTGAGCAAACATGTTAACAGCCCACCTGAGGTTCAGTACTTACCAGAGCTACTCACTTTTATGTTTTTTCGTTTAAAGGTTGAATTAATTTTTTAAGTACAAATAAATAATTTAGTTAAAAAATATGTAATTTAAATATAATCTAAAATTTATCTACAATGTTTGTTAAGAAGTTGAGGTACTGTAATTTCTGTGGCAATGACCTATGTTAAACACAAATTGTGTGTTTTTCTCACAATTTATACCAAATAAGAAAGTGTAACACTAGTTTTAATATTAAAGACAGTGTAAATTTTTATCTAATAACACTTAATCTCCGCCAAAGATCAGTTTTATATTTGATGCAATATTTAATTTTTTTATTTATTACTTGATTTTCTTTCATATGGTTATGTGAATATTGGTACTCAGGTCACACCAGGCCCAGATTATCATCCAGCATAAGGTGGGGTGATTCAATAAAACATTTTATTTTTTATTGCACAGATGAGTGGACGAGCTCACATCCCACCTGGTGTTAAATGGTTACCGGAGCCCATAGACATCTACAACGTAAATGCCGCCACCCACCTTTAGACATGAGTTCTAAGGTCTCAGTATAGTTATATTTGGAATACATTCCCTTGTTTTTAATATTAATAGCACTTGTGTGTACTATCAACATACAATGCTCTTATCAAATAATTATGAATAATTTTGACATTCTTCTTATAACAGACTTATATAGCTCTGATAATTTATTATGAAGAGAACAAAGACCATCAATCACCCTAAAAATACATTTGTGCAAATAATATATTTCTTTAAAAATATGTAATAATATTTTAACACAAAAAATAAGGACCCTAATTTTTGTTAATTGAATGATTGATGATATAAATTAATATACTGTCAAAATATAAGATATACTTTACTACAAAATAAATAACTATAGCCATAACATAAAAAGATTATTTATTTTAATTTTTTTACCACAGCCGTTTATTTTCCTTCCCAGGTGTGGGTAAATCATGTTTACTCCTTCAATTCACGGACAAAAGATTCCAACCGGTGCATGATCTCACTATTGGTGTTGAATTTGGTGCTCGGATGATCACAATTGATGGCAAGCAGATCAAGTTGCAGATTTGGGACACAGCTGGTCAAGAAGCTTTTAGGTAAAAAAGAAACCAGTGCAGTTCAAGCAGACCAATAGTTTTGCTTAGTTTTATATTGGGGGTGGAGTAATCTAGGGAAAAATACTAGCGGCTTCCGTTTTTAATCGCGAAGCCCTAATTTTCCAGTATTGAGAATAAGAGCTCATGTCTTGATGTTCACGGTAATGATGTTCACTTTAAGATGTCTATAGGCTTTTTTATCCAATTAACAACTAGTGGCCCGTGAGCTCGATCACGTATCTTTGCAATAAATATTACTAAACATAAAAAAAATTATAAGAAATAATCTTTAGATCACATTAGGTGAACGACATTGCACTCATAGATTCAAGTGTCATTACAGAAAAATAATGCTTATGGATAAGTTTTCTAATGTGTCCATGTATATGGGACATGTTTATTAAATGCAAATATAATCTATCGTATAAAAAGCAACGACTTGATTCGATATTGCCGAGATTCAACTAATTATGTAGTAACAACTATTTATATTGAATTTTTGTTGTGTAAACTAAAAGTGCAGTAAAGGAATTAAAATTACTTTTATAGTTTAAATTAAGTGTTTTTATAATTTTATCACGTATGACTCTTTAATAGTCCGTGACCACGAAAGACGTAATAAAAATATCCCGAACGTCTAACGACAACGACCACGGCAGCTTAAAACTGAATTAACGATTGTCTATTTTACTATTTATAGCAAAAATATAATTAGGTACTATTTTTATATTATGAACGATCAAGTGAGGCTATACCCATGTATCATGGAAAGATAAGTGTGAGGCAAGTACGAAGTGTCGCAATGTTCCAAAGCCATTACAGTCTAGACTGTAGACATGTTGAAAGTCTTGATTTCTAACTAAACTATCGACATCCATCAAGGTTGAATGAAACATCTCAGGTTTGTAATGGTTTTAAATAATGCATTCTCTATTAATGTTAATTATACTAAGATAAAAATGAACATGTGAGTGTCTTTGAAAGTAACCGATCACACAACTTCGTCGATCATAGACATGAAAACTGCTAAGGCATACATAGACATGAAAACTGCTTCCTGCGGAAAACTCTTCAAACGTTGTATAAAGGAAGACCTGTACCATTTCCAGGATTTACACATATCTACAGATTCGTCCAAAGATCAATTTGTGTCGAGATTCTCGGTTACATCAACTAGAAATAAATACCTTTTTCTTTTTTTTATAATTGAACTAGAAACGAAACAGTCTCGTATTGAACTGGTGGTAGGACCTCATGTGAGTCCGCACCGGTAGGTACCACCACCCCGCCAATTTCTGCCGTGAAGCGGTGACGCGTTTCGGCTTAAAGGGTGGGGTAGCCGTTGTAACTATACTGAGACCTTACAACTTATATCTCAAGGTGGGCAGCGCATTTGCGTTGTAGATGACTATGGGCTTCAGTAACCATTTAACACCAGGTGGGCTGTGAACTCGTCCACCCAACTAAGCAACAAAAAAAAAAAAACTTCTACTTTTTTTAAGTTAAGTTTGTGAATTGAAAGAATCCATCTTCGTATTGTTTTAGGTCCATCACCCGATCGTACTACCGGGGCGCGGCTGGCGCTCTGTTAGTTTACGACATCACCAGACGGGAGACTTTCAATCATCTCACAACGTGGCTCGAGGACGCGCGACAACATTCCAACTCGAATATGGTCATTATGCTTATTGGTAACAAGAGGTACGTAACATTGGTATGATAAAGGTGAACGTAAATAAATATAAAATATATTTATAGTTTAAAGATTGCTAGCAAATTCAATTGTCTAAGGAAAAAAATTTAGGCAATTTCTGGTGTGCATTAAGCATTTATTGTAGTAGTAGGTATGTTCAAATTATTTTGAACTGTTCTCCTAATTCTTTAAAGTTGTTATAGTCTGTTCATGTTGAATTTCGATTACAATGAAGAGTTCCACGTGCAACCTTACTCATACACACAACTCACCGAGTTTCTCGTCAAATTTTCTCACTGAGTCGTGATTCAACGAAGCATTGCTCTGGCTAGGGCTAGTGTTAGCAATTCTCTCAGGATGAGCCCGTGGGCTGACCTGCCCGTCCGAGCGTACTTACAGTAGGCGCGCGAGTTCACGTCTATCCTAAAGAATGCGGTAATGGTGTGACCTAGTTAATTATGGTAATGTCGATAATAACTACCGATTTAGTCAACAGCTGTCAATTTGCTTTAATGTAACTTAAGGTAATTTTGCCAATTATGAAATAAAACAAATGTAATAAGTCCTAATTACTTGTTTATTCCTAATAGAGAAAAATATTTTTTAAAGTCCGATTCAATCACTATCAAATGAAAGGACAACCGACAAATTACAGTCGGAATCAGCATGTATATTTTTTTAGAAGGTTTTTTTCTATCTGAACTTGTTGGAAGCGGAGTAGTCATGGTTAAATAACACAATAGCGTTAGCGTACATTTTCGATATCGATAAGCGCGCGTCACAACCGTCAAGGGCAACACTCGACGTCAGACAAATGCGGGGAGACGGGTGAAGGTGGGGCGAGCTGTCCCCCGCGCGTCGCCTCGTGCCCCGATGGACATGAACTCGCGCGCATACAGTAGAATAGGCCCTCTAGTTCTCTATCGCATTTCTAATTCACATTTTTAACTAATTTCAACAGCAAAGCAATCACGCAGTTAGGCTTGAAGGGATTGAGATTCGGATCCCGTACCGATTTCAGCAATTAAAATATACAATTACCCTATTTAGTTATATTACCTACTCGTTTGAATAATTGAATATTTATAACTTTCTTGAGATAGTACGATTTTAAACATATTTAACTACACAACTAGGTACTAAACTAAACGACGGATTGTTTTTCAGCGATCTCGAATCCCGACGTGAAGTGAAGAAGGAAGAAGGCGAAGCGTTCGCTCGCGAGCACGGCCTCGTCTTCATGGAGACGTCTGCTAAGACTGCCGCCAACGTCGAGGAGGCTTTCATCAACACCGCCAAAGAGATCTATGAGAAGATACAGGAAGGAGTGTTTGATATCAATAATGAGGTATGGGTCGAACATGTTTACCCAGTAATCAGTTTTTTTTTAATTGCATTTATTTCTTTCATAAGTTGGCTGGTTGGTTCGGTGAATTCTTTGATGTGGTACTCGAACCAATATTTAGTGTCAACTTTATTTTCAATTAGAGAATAAATCACGGCATCGACTCTCATTAACCTAAATGTCATGATTGCTACAAAGTCCGAAGCCGTTTGCGTTTACTATGTTTTATTCTATTATTTATCTATTTTATTGGGACTTTTTGGCGGGAACGCGAGGTGTGAAGTTGTGCGATTTGTTTAATTTGTCTATTTAGTAAACGACCGCCATTTTACTGAGATTATATTTCATCCTATATCATCTTATTTCATTTCATTTCATGCCATGCTATGTTTCATATTAATCAGCTTCATTTCATTTCATAATATCATATTTCATAAAATATATATAAAAAATTAGGCTGTATGATGTGATAACTTTGCCTTTCCATTTGGAAAAATAAAACTATTACTACTCTATTTTATTGTTGCTTCAGGCGAACGGCATCAAGATAGGTCCTCAGCACTCGACAGGCGCCGGGGCGGGCGGCGCGGGGGGCGCGGGCGCGGGCGGCGCGTCCTCCGGTGGCTGCTGTTAGGTGTTGCGCTGCACACACTGACCGGACACTGCTCTACCAAACGTACACTCCGCAGGTAACTATTCATGAGGTCAGCGCAAAAGGGGCCTAAGCTTACCATAGTAATAATTAGTATGAAGATAATAATTATGTTAGAATTTTTTTATTTTTTTTATTGCTTAGATGGGTGGACGACCTTACAGCCCACTTGGTGTTAAGTAGTTACTGGAGCCTACACGACGCCTTCAGAATTTACGACGAATTTACTTTTACACTGCTTCGTATCGTAGGCAAAAATAATGTCTACAAAGCCATCTGTTATCTATGGGTGAAACTGGGATAGACCGGTTTTACATCAAAATTTATTATATTTTAAATAAATTGAAATATATAAAGCGCGAATATGAAAAATCGTGGGTTAGGCCACTTTTACATTGACGGCTTCATATAATATGTTTCAACACTGGAAACGTCATTAACTAACTAATATGTTACAGACGAGGCGCAGCTGTGTGCAACGACAGATTAGTACGAATATTCAAAATGCCGGACTACAAAACATTATAAATGCTAAAAAATAGCTTGCGTTTGAACCTAAATATACAAAATTAAACAATTTAAGATTTAATACTTAGAATCAAAAAATGATTAAATTCAATAGTTATTAGAAACATAGATTACTTCTGTGATTTAAATATTTGCTTCCTATAATAAAATTAAATCATTTGTACCAACCGGTAAATTAATATTTCTAATCATTTTTCTTGATGTAAAAAAAAAGCACTGTCCACAGAATTTATATTCAGTAGTATCATTCATCTCATAAAATTATATAGTAATTAGTGCTTATATATTTCGGTGTATATGTATTATTATATTTTTAATTTGCGGATATCTTTAGTATCACTAATCGAGCATTTACTTGTAAAACATATAATCCTAAGTAGTGCCGATTTTATATTATCTAATACAGAGAATTGTGATTAATGTATTGTATCAGTTCAGATGTTTCAATTTATTTATATATTTTAGTTTATCATGTTAAATGTTCAGTCCAAATTAAGTTTATTTATTTAATGTCATCTCAAATTAGGTGAATATTTAAAAAATATTATGTACTAGATATTTGTTTTTGAAACAATTGTGATTTATTTTCTAGTTACAGTATTTACCTTGCACTGTATTTGTGATGACCTTTAAAATGGCGACGTAACCAAGAACTTTATCTCGTTTATATGTCTCGACAATTTTTATTCGAGTCGGCAGGACAATGTTCAAACAATTACGAGACTAAAGTATGCCAGTTAAGAAAATTAGGTGGTGGTCTAGAATAATAGCACAAGTATGGAACTGAAATGTTTCAATATGAAATGGAATCGCAACCTAAAGATGACTGCTTGCAAGGTACTGAAAGACATGATTACAAAATAGGTTTATGTTTAAGTTTAGCCCATTGTAATGATACGATAAAAATATTTTGTAAGGTTACATAATATATGCAGACACATTTGTAAGGTGTAATTCATGAGAATAAAACTTGAAAAATGTTATTGTATTTTTTTTTTTTAAATAACGTATCAAACATTTCCTCACTTTTTGTGGAGGGAGACTGACATCTCTTTTTTTTACTTTACAAGATCCATATTTTACACAATAATTAAATAATAAAATTTTTAATTTATTTTATTAAGTCCAAGTCTGGTTATATGTATGATGATATGACAATATGATACCTAATGACAAAAAGAACAGATTATTTAATATTTTAAAAAAACAGCGGGTACGTCAATACTAATTAATTCATTTTCGGGTGGAATAAATTAAAACGCATTTCTATTGAAAAAGATCACATTAATTAGATTAAACTAAAATACATCGCGGTAACAATAAAGATAAATGTAATGGCTGAGCACATCTGAAGTAGTTATATACATCTGAAGCCAGTGTATCGATTGTATTTGTAGCATGTACCTAGGCGTCAGTAATTTCATTAATGTGCGATTATAGGTATAATTATCTGTGTGGGTATAACTATTTGTTCTAAAAAAATGTCACAGGAGAAGAGAAAGTTTGGCCGCTGATCGGAGCGAGATGCAAGTTGCAGTTGTCCCTGTCGAGCTCTTTTCCTTTAGAACTTTTAAAACTTGGATCATTTATATTATTATGTATCTGATCTCGATATGTGATCTCTTGGGCAAATTTAGAGGAACAACAATGTGAACAAAATAAGCTGTGGATAATTTTTATCATGTTATCATGGATAATTAATGTTTATCAATACAAATTTTACTTTAGATAGATATGTTGATTTACAATTTTAAACGTGGAAAAAACAATTAAGAGCCAAAAATATAACAAAAAAATAAAACTACAGCTAAAAATACATTTTTGTAATTAACACGCAAACGTAGTGTGCTCTCTGTGTTTATTTAATTTTTTTTTAAAAGTATTGTGTATTTTTACATTTTAAATGTGTATATAGTGCATAAATAACTCCTGCTCACTGATTTTATCATCTATCCTGTTCCGGCTACCTGGCATTGCTGCCAAGATACATCATTGATATTCACATTGGATATGCAACTTTCAAGTAACCTACAACAACTCGAAAAATTATTTGCCTCTCGAATGGGGGCCTACGAGGATAAGCTCAAAAAGGTGGCGAGTGATTCTACAACATTGCATCCAGACTTCACGGCACTATCAAAGGACTTTAACGAGTTTAAATCGTTTGTAATGGCTACTCTGTCAAACATCAAAAGTCAATTAGAATTAATCTCATTAGGCTTGGATCGGCATGAAACTGCTATGAGGAGGAAGGTTCTGTTGATACATGGAATACCAGAAAAACAAAACGAAAATCTGCATAGCACCGTTCTTGCATTGACCAACGACCAATTGAAATTGACAGATTTTAAAACCGATTGTGTTAGTGTTTGTCACAGACTTGGCGCCTCGCAGGGTAAACCTCGCCCAGTGTTAGTAAGATTTATGAATATCGAGTCACGTCAAGCAGTATGGGACAGCAAGACTTCTTTAAAGGGCACGGGCGTCACTATTTCTGAGTTCCTTACGAAAATAAGGCATGGTGTATTTTTGTCAGCCCGAAAGCATTTTGGCGTTCAACACTGTTGGTCAGCCGACGGTAAAATAGTGTTAGTTCTACCTGATAAATCGCGTTATAAGATTGAATCTCTGAATGAACTACAGGCCCTTATAAAGAAATACCCAATAATATGTACTGACACGGTAGAATCAGCAGTGCAAGGGAAGCCGTCTACACTAAAACCTGCGGACGCGCATGTGAAGACGATAACTAAAATGAACAGAAAAGGCCGGCGCTGAAATTGACGTTTTAGGATAAATGGCATAACAATTTTATTATTTCTACTCCCATACCAACGTTACATAGTCGCTTAATGTATTTTACTGTTGTGTCTTGTGCTTGAACATTTTGTTCGTTATGTTCTATTCTATTTTGACACTAATTCACTACGTAATTTGTTTTGTAAATTTTTGTTAGCCATTTTATTGTTTTAAACGAACTTAACTTAAATTTAACTAAATCTGTCATTGTTTTGTTTACAAGTTACTACCGTACTTAATTGATGATATTTGTCCAGTTGGCTATGTTTTTGTTAGCAGGTTGGTAGCACTGAGGAGTAACTTATCCATAGATTCTTCGCTTTAGTTTTGACCATAGACTATACCTTAATATTTGTAATTTTTGGCATTGGCGTATAAAATGCTCAGCCTACGACAAATATCCATAGATTAATTTCTGATATTATCTAGTATAGTGTTGCTTATTTTAATATGCTCTTTTACTAAAAAATTATATTTATGAACACATTTGCAAGTCACTGTCTACACTGTGAGCTATTCTTTTGTTAACATGTAAGTTAATTCATTGATGTTAATGTATCTATCTACACGTCTAAATCTGTGTAATTGATACATGTTCAAAAAATCTCTTCCAGGTTTATTGATTGATCAGTTGAGCCGGGAGTTAGTTTCTAGTTTATTGATTAAGAGTAATATTATATACATGTTTATTTGTTTTTAGTTTACCTATTATATTAATTGTATTATTTTCATTTTGTTATATTATATTAATAGTGTATGTTATTTAAGTATTATTTATTTATATTTATTTAAAATCTTATTAATTACATAATATTTTTTAAAAAATATATTAAAAATACAATTTTTAAAAAACACTATATAAAAATAGATTGCCGCTGATGGCGGTGTCTACGACACAAGCCACCAGTGGTTAGGACTCCAGAGTGAGAAACCTCCTCACAATGCGTGCAGTATCGAGGATAATAAGTATTATTATTATTATTAAGTTACCATATTATTATGAATAATAATTTATTTAGTTATGAAACATTTTTCTCCTGCTCTTCGTCTGAAAGCAGTTTTTTGAGTGCTGATGATGGCAATGATTCATGTACGTCAATACATCTGCACGATGAGATTTCTGCTGAACTATCCTCGTTCCCTAACAACCTAAATATTGCACATGTAAATGTTCAAAGTATTCCGCGTCATTATTCAGATCTTCTGGCATCTATTAGCAGCAATACTCTTGACGCTTTACTGATATCTGAATCATTTCTTAAACCATCCATTCCATCGGTTCAATACGCAATTCCCGGCTTTGTATTAATTCGTAATGACAGAGTGGGCAAAGGTTGTGGAGGCGTAGCAATCTATTTGCGAAGCGGGATCGAGTTCAGAATTGTAAGTGTGTCTCCATCTCAGTATTCTGAATCCGCTGAACATCTTTTAATCGAATTGACACTGCATTACACTAAAATTTTACTAGGTGTTTTTTACAGTCCTAATCTTCGTGTTAATTATTTTGAATGTCTTGATGAATTGCTGTCTAATCACTGTTCTTTGGCCGATCATATTATTGTGATGGGGGATTTTAATACTTGCATGCTGAAGAATGATTTTCNTCTTGAGTCGAAACTGTGAAGTGGTGGAGTGATGATCTGTGCAGGGTGGCTGGCAAGAGCTGGATGAGGGAAGCCGAGGATTGTGCTCAGTGGCGAGCAATTGGAGAGGCCTATGTCCAGCAGTGGACTGCTGTAGGTTGATGATACCCATATGAGAATTTTTAACTGAAATGCCTAGAAATAAAAGCCGATCTTATAATACTCCCTCTGGAAGAGTCCTGAGTATTAGGTACTGGGACATTTTCTAGCTCAATTTCAGGGTTCAGCTCAGGTTCATTGGTCATTAAACAAATGTTGTGTAGGACAGCACAAGAGACTATAATATTACATGTATTTGGTGTACTGTTTTGTAATTTTCTACACAAACAAGCAAAGCGTCTCTTTAATTCACCATTTACACGTTCTATAATGTTTCTCGTTAATAGATGTGCTCGATTGTATCTGTGTTCTGGGTCTGTTTGAGGATTGAGTACAGGAGTGTACATAAAGCCAGTCTGCGCATAACCACTGTCTCCGACAAGAATGCCAACTAAATCGCCTTCTTCAAATCTCAAACAGCATCTGCTGTTGTTAAATATGCGCGAATCATGCACAGATCCAGACCATCGCACAACAATGTCGTATATTTCCATTTGCGGTCCACATATTATTTGGACATTGATAGAAAACCAGCCTTTTCTATTACGAAAGATTTCTCTGGATGGATTTTTTATTGGAATGTGTGTGCAATCAATACATCCAATTACACCTGGAAACCCTGCAATTCGGTAGAATTTTCTTTTAGTTTCATTTAATGCAGGGAATTTAATAAATTGCCTGGATTTCAAAGCCAATCTCTTAGAAATGTTTGCTACCGTTTTTGATACTACGGATTGAGAAATTTTGTGCAAGTCGCCACAAACAATCTGAAAAATAAACATACCACATGAAATCAATTGAAAGTTATAAATTATAAATATTCTATTATGTAGACACAAAAGCACATTATGCACGAACCTGAAAATTGCCTGTTGCGTAAAATCTCAAGGCAATTAGCACTTGTAATATCGGCGTTAAAGGTAGTCCACGATCGTTTTCATTAATGTTGTTAGTCAACAAAGGCAGCAAAATATGCACAACCGAATCTTTGCTAAGCCGGTAACGTTTTCGGAATTCGTCGTCATCGTAAACTTCCAACGGGTTATCTGCATCTCTCAAATACCTTCGCGACGGATAATTATACACTCTGCTATCAAAAATCTAGTTAATAAATTCTTCAAAACTGCTCTCAGAAGTCATCTTGTATTAAACGCTGTTTTGAGGAACGTTCAAGGTACGTCGCGACGTACCTTGACTTGACAGTTCCCTCACTTCACTCCGGTTAGGAAATATTTCCAAGGACGTTTGAGTGGAGTTTATTTTTACGACTAATCATACCAAAACGCGCGTTGGAGGTTGAGTCGAGTCGAGTTAAGCTCGTGTGAACGACTAAAGATACGGGTGTAAGTCTCAATAGCACCGCATAACACTGCCCCATCCTTCAAATCGGAACTATGGCTTATTTAGTGGCAAAAATATGCAGTATGCCGTCACCTACCATTGCGGACTCACAATCTACGCTATAATAATAAAGAAATTTCAATAATCAAACAAGCAATTTTTTAACAAAATATTTATTTCTATTACATCAACAATAAATTAATTGTCCAACAAAACACATCAGGGGACTCGTTACAAAATGGAACTGATGATACGATAATGAATATATAGATTTAGATGTAGTACGTAGGAACATGCTTCACGAGCGGGGTCGTTGACCTATAATTTTGTACGATATAGATTACGCACTTGAGTTTTGGTAATGTCAATTTTACATGAATTAAGAAATTATTATTGTGACTCGCTCATGTTCCGACAGCATCCTTCCGCTCCGTGCAAAGAATAGCAACGTAATTAAATAGAGATTCAACATTGCGGGAAACCGAATAATATTTAGTTGAGAAAGAGAAACGTGTGAAAACAACAGAGACAGCAAGACAGAGAGAGAAGATTGCAAAAGAAAAATGAACCCTTCAACTTATTGACTTCGTTAGTTTGACTTTAAATTTATCTCACAGTACTTTTACTATTAAAATCTATGTATTTACCTACATACAGAAGTTTTTAAATAAATTATGATTTAAATAAATACATGTCAGTGATGTTCTGTTCAAACAACTTGTGACTACCTTCGACTAGACATTTGTCCCTTTCACCCGACTTCAATATTACGGGACGAGAGTTGATATTTTAAATTTGTTGTAAAGTTTATTGATATTCAAATAAAACTTGAAAAATAAAGCCTTAAGAAAACTAGTTTCTGAGTATTGCATGCCGCCACAAAATTCATAAATATTATTATGTGTAAAGTATTTTGTATTAAATTATTAATAAGAACTAGGCTAGGCCATTTAACAATCTAATTATTTAACGAGAACATGTTTTTGTACGTTTTGAAACTCAGGTTTGCATGTGCAGACAATACTGTCATCTTGAAGATGATCAAAATTTTAAGCAGCAAATATTTACATATATCATGTGTAATGTAAAAGAAAAAGTGGTGCAGTCCTGGGGCGATCGCGACGTGACAACAAAAACATTCTACAATCACGACCAGTCATTACTTTGATTCCATAAAAATGATAATGATATTAGTTTTAATAATCAAAAAAACATGAATAACACTAAATATTAAATTCATCCTAAAATTGTGATTGCTGTTTGACTAAGCTATTGGGCCCGGAGCCGCGACGCTGGGGGACCGGGGGGGGGCGTGGGGGGGACGAGCCGGGGGGACCGCTCTGCAGTAGCTATGAGTATAGCAGTTACGCTAACCACATCTCTAATGAAAATTAGTTTAGAGTATCAAGGCCAGCCTTCTGCCCGTCATTGCGAGTTGACCTTCCTGTCCCGCAGCACGGCGCTGATGAAGAACTCTCCGGCCCTGTAGGACGAGCGCACCAGGGCTCCGCTGGCCACGTACAGGAAGCCAAGCTGGCGGCCGCGCGCCTCCCACTGCTGGAACCGGGCGGGGGTCACGTACTCGAACACCTTGAGGTGCTTCTTCGTGGGCTGCATGTACTGGCCCAGCGTCACGCAGTCCACTCCCGCCTCGCGTAGATCTGATCCAACAAAATATTATTTGCATATTAATATATTACTAGTGGTCTCCCGGTAGTCGAAATTCGACTATAACTAATTGAAATTGTAAGTTTGTACACTATTATGATTCTATTGTGAAAGCCTATTTATTATACTTCTATAATCACAGATTTCGCCAAGACTACACTTTAGAAAAATATTAATTTAATACAATATTTAATATATTCTCAATTTGACCATAGATTATTTAGCAATAAGAAAAGTTTGACAATAAACAAATACACAATGTGTGTGTCAAATACATGGTAGTGTGTGTAATGTCTTTTTCATTGATGTAAAGTTTCTTCTTCGCAAAAAAAAAAAATAGTATTCTGCACTTCTTCTTTATATTCTCTATAAGTGTGGGAAATCTCATACTTCTCCGTCCGAGCAATTTTCGTAAAAAGAGGTACAAAAATTTTGCTTCACGTATTGATATATACATTAAATCTATTGTTTTGTCAATTACACATTATAATTTATATACGCGGTTAGCAATTATCGTTTCGGTCATTTAGTGCGGCCCTCGGTCTGTTGGGAGAGGAGGGTTGTCAACAGCCTGGAGGCTAGAGGAGCTTATTTAAATACTATAAAGAGCTTATTTATTTATGGCCCAGGTACTTCAGCACCGTCTTGCATCCGACCGACGGGCCCATAATCTATATTTTTTATCTTCTATATATATAAAAATGAATTGCTGTTCGTTAGTCTCGCTAAAACACGAGAACGGCTGGACCGATTGGCTAATTTTGGTCTTGAATTATTTATGGAAGTCCAGAGAAGGTTTAAATGGTAGATAAATATTATTATGAAAATGCTCGGAATTAAATAAAAATAATAATTTTGATTTTCCTTTGATGTGTCCCCCGTCAGACGGATACCTTTTGTTTGTTTTAAGTTTATTTTTACAAAAGTTTAGGTCTTTTATTTATCGATTAAGGCACTAAGAATTCTGCCGGGTCAGCTAATGATTTACAATCAACAATACAATTTCGGGTATATCTCTTACGAAAAAAGCTTTGATGTAGAATTGAAATGTTAACTTTAAATATTGATATATCATCAGCTTTCTCCTGCTCTTCTCCCAGTCACCTGGGGTCGGTGCAACATGTTTTGTCTTCCCATACTCTTCTATCATATACCATTTCTTCGCTCACTCCCCTCTTACCCATATCGTCTTTCACGCAATCCATCCATTTCTTCTTAGGTCTACCTCCTCCTCTATATCCTTCCTTGTATGTATGTTAAGTACATACAAGGACTTCTTTACTGGTGATAGGACCTCTTGTGAGTCCGCGCGGGTGGGTACCACCGCCCTGCCTATTTCTGCCGTGAAGCAGTAATGCGTTTCGGTTTGAAGGGTGGGGCAACCGTTGTAACTGTACTTGAGACCTTAGAGCTTATATCTCAATGTGGATGGCGCATTTACGTTGTAGATGTATATGGGCCCCAGTAACCACTTAACACCAGGTGGGCTGTGAGCTCGTCCACCCATTTAAGCTATAAAAAAAAAGTGGGATACCTTTCATGGTCTGCTCCACTTGCGCATCGGTCTCGCCGAGCCCCAGCATGATGGACGACTTCGTTATTAAATCAGGATTTATTTCTTTGGCCATTTGTAAAACTTTCAACGTTTGGCGGTACCTGCAAATCATTTAGTCCATTTTAACCTGTGTCCATTGTTGATGCCGGCATGAGATAGGGCTACGTTTATCTGGGCATATCTTATTAATTTCAGATTTACTTCAAGAGATAGATGAATAGAGATAGAGATTTTAGTGGTAGGCAACAACTTGGCTCTGATTCTGACATTGCTGAAGTCCATGGGCGACACTAACCGCTCAAAATCAGGTGGGCCCTATGCTAGTCTGCTTGCAAAGGCAATAAAAAATTAATTAAGCAAGGAGAGAGATCCGGACATTGGGTGTCCGTAGCTAACATTTTTTATTTATTGCGTATATGGTTAGGCGAGCTCACAGCCCTCCCGGTGTTAGGTGGTTAATGGAGCCCATAGATATCTACAACGTTAATGCCGCCACCCACCTTGAGATATAAGTTCTAAGGTCTCAAGTATAGTTACAACGGCTGCCCCACCCTTCAAACCGAAACGCATTACTGCTTCACGGCAGAAATAAGCAGGGTGGTGGTACCTACCCGCGCGGACTCACAAGAGGTCCTACCACCAGTAATTAATGTATCGTTGAAAGTTGAAGGGTCCTCACCCAGCCCTGGGGTCCCGCACGAAGGGCGTGAGTCTCTCGACGGTCTCGACGTTGTGCGCGAACACGTCGAGGCCGCTGGTGGCCACGCGCGCCACGCAGCCCCGGGCGGCTCTGAAGTCCGGCACCAGGCACTCCACTAGGATGTCCTTGTTGCTGGAACCAAGCATACAAACTGTTACGCCAGTAAAAGTAACGCCATCTATCGCCGAATAGTCGAACGAATATCGAAGGACCTAGAACGCTCGAGAAGTACAACGCCATCTATTATTATATAGCGGAAACCACTGCTAGAGATGTGTGGAATATTCTCAATAATTCTAGGGATGAGGTATCGACTATAAAGGCGTTGCAGGGATGGCAGTTGGCACGTAGTCAGTCAGTAATCGGAACTACTCGAAGCGAAAGAGCGAACAGATCACCTAAAGCGAAGCTGAACAAGCGAATTGAGAGTTTTAGTGTTTGTGAAGTGTTTAAGTGTTCTAAGTGTTGAATACAATTTTTAGTTTATACTTCAGTGAAATTTTATTTATCTCGAACCCCAGCGCGTAACAGAACTAATCATTTGACAGCAATTAGAGCAACTGTTTTAACTAGCGGTCCCGCAGTTGTCGAAATTCGACTAGGTATAATTCATTTCAATTATAAGTTGGAACATTATTAAGGTTTTATTGTTAAAACCTATTATACTTTTATAATAACAAATTTCGCCAAGGCTACAACTATAGACAAATAATATTAAAGATAAACAATATTAACCTATACTCAATTTGACCACAGACTTTATACAATAAAAAAAGTTTCACATAAACAAAGGGTATTTATATGTATGTGTGTGTGTGTGTGTGTCAAATACATGGTTGTGTGTGTATTGTTTTTTTTATTGATTTAATCTATTATTAATACAAAATTAAAAAAGAATATTGGCATTCTCCGCACTTCTCTATATTCTTTATAAGTGTGGGAAATTTCATACTCCTTCGTCCGCGCAATTTTCGTATATACGAGGTATATATTTCGGATATACGAGAAATATGTGTGAGTGCAGAGATGACATATGGTACGACTTGCCAGGCGGCGCCGACCACACAGTGGGGATGAGGACAATATCTTAATCATTATTAAAAAATTTAAAGACACGGTTTTTTATGAAAACTTACAGCTTTTTGATCTCTTTAACTGTTTCGGCAAAATGCAGCGAACCTCCATCTGGTAAGTCTGAAATAAATCATGTTTTTATTTTTTACACCATTTATGATAAAATTACTAGTGAAATCCAAAAATTTCTGTGATCATTTAATTACATGACAATCAGTAATAAGTTATTTATTGTAAGGAATTAAAGCTCTAGCTCGTTGTAATTAAAGCTCTTCTTCTGGGTTTTTAAAATAATTTTCCCTGAGATTTAACTATTCAAACCTGGATGAAGCTCACGAAATCGCACTCAATTCACACTCAAAGATCAAAAATCAAGTTGGACACACTTATTTACTAAAAATAAGTGATTAAAGTAATACATCTATTGTGTCGTAAAGTGTCTGCTAGTAATCTTGAACTGAATTTCAAATCATTTGGATAAAAACTAAAACTGACCGTCTCTATCAACAGAGGTAAGTACAATATATCCGACACCCCACTGGTTGATAGCATGTGCAGTGTTCCTTGGCTCCTCTGGGTCCAGAGGTGGTGGATTCCTTGATGTCTTCACTGAGCAGAACATGCAGCCTCTTGTACAAGTATCTCCCATTAACTGGAATGAATAGAATCAAATTAAGAATTTATTTTGGGTTGATGGCAAGAACAGCAATTGTTCTGCAAATGAAGGTGGAACTTAATTTCTGTAAGTAGTTTTCAGATGTGGTGTGATCAAAAACGAAATTCATTCATTTATAGTGGTTATATTGTAAGTCCCTGCGAGTAGGTACCACCATCCCACCTATTTTGCTGTAAAGAGGCCATGCATTACAGTTACAAGGATTGGGATAGCCATTACACAATATAATTGAAACTTGCAACTCCTGTCATGGGTTTTAGTTACCTCTTAGCACCAGATGCCCTTTGAGCTCGTTTTGCTATCAACACAGCAAATAAAAAGTCAAGTTTAATCCATGTTTAACAATTGAAGTTGTTACCATTATGGTAGCAGTTGATGCACCGTGTTTTCCTCCGCTCCAACATTCTCCAATATTAGGACACCTTGCTTCTTCGCAAACAGTGCTAAGCTTCAAACTACGTAACTGCTGTTTTATTTCATTGAATTTTGAACCTAAAATGTAAAGCAATACAATTGTTTTTCTTCATAACGTAAGTGTAACAAACATAATCAAAACACTGGGTGTAAAGCAACTCCTCCATTGGTATCAACTGGCAGAGCGCCTTCAAATGAGACATTACAGCTCAAGGGCTACTGCTTTGCATATGCATCTACTAATCTGCAGCCGTAGCTGAATCCGTAGATTGGAATCGTGACCTGCTGAGATCCAGTGTGAAACTCTGTAGATGGATATGTGGGCAGATGAGACAGACTTTACACTCTGTGTTCAGTAAATAAGCTGCTGAAATCTAACTGCATACAGAAACAGTACCGTAGATATTTCCAGACAGTACTCATATACATATACACATATTTTTGCTTGGTGATTTTGTTGCAGTTGAAATTGATAGTTATGTCATAATTATTTCATAATACCAATTAATGAGCAGGCACATAGGCATAATGGCAGGGCATTATATCATGTCAAGAGTGAAACGGTTAACATTAAGTTCAATAACTTTATGAATAAAGTCTTAATATTTTCATATTTTCATTTTTGTATTTTTATATTTTCATTTTTGTATTTTAAAATAATAGATTAAGAATGAATGATTTCAATACCTGTGGGTATAGTAGTTTTCAACCATGGCGGTAACCTAAGTCTCTCGAATTCACCTTTTTCCCTTTTCAGCTTGCCTTGATATTCATCCCAATTTTTTGGACGATCTTCAGATATAAAATCGGTTAGATTCGGACCCTCTTTTAATTTTTCTCTGATTGCATCTAACTTATTTGTGTGTTTGTATCTTGGAAACTACAAAATTTTATGTAAGCAATAAAAGTTTACTGGTGGTAGGACTATTTGTGAGTCCGCACGAGTGGGTGCCACCGCCCTGCCTATTTCTGCAGCGAAGCAGTAATGCGTTTTAGTTTGAAGGATGTGGCAGCCATTGTAACTATACTGAGACCTTAAAACTTATGTCTATGGGTGGCGCATTTGCGTTGTAGATGTCTATGGGCTCCAGTAACCACTTAACACTAGGTGGGCTGTGAACTCATCCACCAATCTTAGTAATAAAAAAAAAAGTTCAGGAAGTCTGTAGTTATGCTAATGAGTTTTTAAAGACTGAATAGCCCCTTTTTGGTCACCTCTCTGCATATTCCCGCCAATTCGAGGATTGCGATTTAAAATAATATGTTAGTACAATTTAGAGTTAAATCACTTAAAACTCTCAGAAAGAGTTTCGGCACTGTGTGTGTATCTGTGGCTTTCGATGATCTCTTAGCACCATGTGGAGTTTATGACAAGATTAGAAGCTTTAAAAATCGGTTATGTAAAAAAGAAATGTAATTTTATAGAGTGTAACAGATGAACATATTATGCTAAATCATACGTATTTTTCATCATTATTACGACAAAAGTTCAAGGAGAGTGACGACACGCAATAAAAAGAATTATTGTAATTACAAAACATTCGGTATTATACTTACGTCCAAATGTTTGGTGACTTTATACTTTTTAATTGTGTTGCGAATCATGGCTATTACAATTTTAATTACCTACTTATAATTACTAGAATCATAATAAAATTAATAAAATTTCCGTCTTTAATTCTGACATTATTTACGTAGTTTTTGACGGTTTTTGACAGATATCAGATGATTAATGACAGTTTTATCTGCGTATACTCTATTTTTTTAATGGATTTTTCAACCTGGTAACTACGACTTTTAGGTCAAGTCTCATTTCAATTTATATTCTTATTTTTATGAAAAATGATAATGCAAATTGAAATTAAATGAAAAGAGATGGTATGATTTGAGATGAAATATAATCTAGTAAAATGGTGGTCATTTACTGAGACTTTTTCAGTGGACTTTTTTTGAGATCCCGAGAAGCTACCTCTAGCAGCTTTGTTTGATTTTCCCACATTTGTGCACTTTAACCTATAATAAATAATTAATAGATCATCGTTATTACACATTTGAACCTGAAGAAACACTAAATAGACAAAATAAAACAAGTTACACAACTTCACTCCTCGCGCTCCGGCCAAAAATCCGTCTCTATATTAGTAAAAGGTCATCATAGATACAATTAATATACACTGAAAGATGGTCACATATACTTAGTTAAGTATATGTTATATTCCTTTTATCATCTTTATTTCAATATGAAAATTAACTTATTGCGTTGTTGTAATTACTGGTGGTACAATTTTTGAAAATGAAAGAGAATGAATTAAAGTACATTTATTTAAAATGTAATCCATCATGACGAAACTGAATGGAACAAAATATTTCAAATTAACTGAAGTGGAAGTAGGTAACTTAATTCCTTACTTGTGCACTTTCAAAGATACAAAACGGTTAACAAGTCAGCGTTACCACATGTTCAAACCTGAAAAAACACTAATCTAGTAAAATAAATCAAGTCGGCAGTTAGAGGTTGTTTGCATGATTGTACTAGGCTCCCCACAAACCGGGAGAAGTGGCGATTGCTCTTGAGGCGCATAGCATATGCCCACAGTAATGATACTGAATGACGACCACGACCACTCTGACAAGAGTGATACAACAACGGAATGGATGTAAAATAAGTCAATATACACAACTTCGGTCTTCACGTTCCCGAAAAAAGGTTTACTTTTAGAGTGGAAGATTATTTCTGACCTGAAGGTCTTTTAGGATTCCCCTTTTAAGGTCTCTAAAAATTTCCCACAATATCATGTTTAATGATTATCACGTTTTTTTTTCCTGCGCACCATAGGTTATCTATTATTATTATACTATGTAATGTTTATTGTGTTCTGTGCTTTAGAGATTGTTTCTATTTATATGATAAATTGCTGGGTATTTTGCTGTTAATAGATTATTGAAATATAAAAATATTGATATGACAACAATCTTACTCCGTTGGAAGACTTAATTTGCGTTACATTAGTTATTAATATAGTAAATTTAAGTTGTAAATAGACGAAGAAAAAGTTGACCTTGAAGCAGCACAGCTGTCAATTTCAAATGATCTAACCTAATTGTTAATGAAATAAACAATACCGTTGCTGTTTTTATGATTGTGTACGATGAGAAACGTTGGTGCTCATCTCCTAGAAGACAAAATGGACGAGGCCGTAACTCACTATATAAATACACATCAAGCAAACGAGGTGATATTTTGATTTTCAAATCTTACGTCTATGTCTTTGTTGTACGTAACTCGATAATGGATTTCGGCAACTGGGCCACATTAGATTAGAATTGAGTTGTTTCAAATTTGATATTGATGAATTTAGAATAAACATTTAACCATGTAGTAGAAAGTAAATAAAGAATACGTGACGAATTCGTTGCGTCCTTTGACTTGAAAAACAAAAGTGAGTCAATTTTATCACTTTTCAAAGTAATTAATAACTATTTGATGATAAATTTACCACATAAATTGTTAATGTTTCCAATAAATAGTTCGTAAGTTTCAATAATCTGAAATAAATAGTCAAAATATTGAAGTTTAAACACAACATACTAACTAAAAATAGTCATTATCATTTATACATATCAGTGAACTTTCAGAGGGTCAACGAAAAAGTTACACCGCTAAATTAATATTAATTGGTTGATTGACCTGTAAACTAAAATACTCATATGCTAAATATTCAACTAAAAATGAGATTGTATGTATGTGAATATTAAAATTCAACTTGAGACCTCTAGTAGAAAAATCAATTGTACTGTCATACTCATACTGTCATACTCATACTGTCAGCTCTTTCAGAAAAGGTATAAGAGATATAAAGATATTCAATATAACCTTAAATATGGTAAATAATAATGATAGCCTGACCTTGATCATCTATACTAATAGTATAAAGCTGAAGAGTTTGTTTCTTTGAATGCGCTAATCTCGGGTGCTACTAGTCCGATTTGAAAAATTATTTCAGTGTTAGATAGCTCATTGATTGAAGAAGGCTATAGGCTATATAACATCATGCTAATAGCAATACAAGCGGAGCACCAATAAAGAATGTTTCAAAATTGGGGTTTTTTTCCCTTTTGAGAGCTTCCGCTGCGTGCGCTGCAGAAATGGTTAAAGCTTCGCTAAAATAATGTATGACAGAATTGTCTCTAACTCTCTTGTTGTGACAGAAATCTATATGTTAAGGTTGGCTCACTATAACGTTTTCTATGTTAACCAAATTTGTTCTAAAATAAAGCATTATTTGTGAACTATACCACATGGACGAAGTCACGCGCGTAAGCTAGTCTAAAGAAATACACATGCTCACAGGAAAAATCTTGGTATCTACTCTTGTAGAGCTCCACTTTACTGATGTTTGGTTCTCTAATTATTCTATAAAAATTTAAGGCAATTTGTTTTTCTTATAGACTGTTCATGTAACTACAAATGGACTACCTCTCAGTGTCCAAGATGATGGCGGGGGACGTGTCACCGTCATGCACACGCAAAACTACTCAGCACCAATGTGCAGGTACCTCTGACTCATTACTTATTTAATATTTAATCATACTAAACACTACTCCATCAAATTTAGCAGTAGGCAGTAGCTTGAGTGGGCCCCTGGTGTTGTTGATGTCCATCAGTAATAGTGACCACTCACCATCAAGATGGACATCTACCGAGGCTGTGAAAATGTACTTCAGCAATTACTAAAAACCACATGAATACTTACCACCGTTGGTATTTTGTTGACATCAGGTCATAGTGTAACTGTTCTTATCCTCAATTTACGGGTGTGAATGGCTGACTTTCCCCAAAGTCCTGAACCTAATGAAGAAATAAGTATTATTTTCTACTGATACTTAATTCTTTCTTGGACACAGCAGACAAGTATCAGTCAACGATCAAGTAACAGAAGGTCAATGGGGCGAAGAACTCCTAGATCCTGACAGCAGGATTGCAGCTATTGTAGCACAACTAGCCCAGCAGTCGAGAACCTCACACCATCTACACCATAAGGTGCAGCAAGTCAGGAACGATGTAGACACTTCGGTAATCCTAGATGGGTCGATGAGGCTTTACAACGGACAGACTTTGGTGAGGATGTTTTTGCAAAATAGTAATCTAAACCTAATTCAAACTATTCTACATAAATCTGATATCGTTCCCAATTAATTTTGTGATTCTATAAAACATTGGAAAATGCTTTAGTATTTATTCTCTTTCATAAAAATACCCTTAATCTCTATTTTGCTTTTAATTAATACAGTAATAGTAAGACATATTTATAAAAAGGTAACTTTTTTTTGTATGCATAAAAATAACTTAATTATTATTATGGGGTATAAATTACAACCATGACCAGTCATTAATATCCAGACAGAAATTTTGTAAGCTGTTTTTTTTTTTTAAATAAACTTTTTTCTTCTAAATCAGTCTTTCCTAAAGTGGACGATAACGCCCCCTTGTGGGCGCTGCAGGCCTAATGGGGGGGGCGGTAAGAGACCCAGAAAAAAATGGGGGCGTTCTGTAGAGGCTTGGGAGGCGATTTTTAGTTTCATCTAGAAGGACTTAGACACAACTGAGCTCACGCTATTGTGGTTTTTAAGTAGGTAGAAAAAATTGGGGGCGCTAAAATATAATTTATTCTTAAAGTGGGCAGTAGATAAAATAAGTTTGGGAACCACTGTTCTAAATTATTACAAGTCAGCTGACCCGGCTGACTTCGTAGTGCCTCAATCGATTAATAAAAGACGTAGTTTTGTATAAAATAAACTTAAAACAAACACAAGGAATTCGTTTGACGGGGGACACATCAAAGGGAAAATGATATTTTTATTTAATTCCGAGCATTTTTATATTTATCAACCTTTTAAACCTTCTCTGGACTTCCACAAATAATTCAAAACTAAAATTAGCCAAGTCGATCTAGCCGTTCTCGAGTTTTAGCGAGACTAACGAACAGCAATTCATTTTTATATATTTACATATTAACAACACCATACAAGCTCCTCATAAATTCCAGTGCACTAGTTAGTTTTATTACAATTTTACTGTAATAAAGTAATAATGTAATAAATTAGACTAGTGGTAGGACCTCTTGTGTGTCCGCACGGGTAGGTACCACTGCCCCGCCTATTTCTGCCGTAAAGCAGTAATGCGTTTCGGTTTGAAGGGTGGGGCAGCCGTTGTAACTATATTGAGACCTTAGAACTTATATCTCAAGGAGTGTGACGCATTTACGTTGTGGATGTCTATGGGCTCCAGTAACCACTTAACACCAGGTGGGCTGTGAGCTCATCCACACATCTTAGTAATAAAAAATAAAAAAAAACCTGAAGTAGACACTTGAAATAAATCTACAAATTAACATTGTCATGGTATTTTTAGGAACAACAACAAGAACCTATTGTGGTACACGTACCACAACTACCGCCACTGCCCCCACTGCAAGAAATGAAGAGATGCCAGGAAACTGACTGGTTTCATAATAAAACAAAAAATGTTGCAACACTAAAAGTAAGGTTTGAATTTATTATTCCATCACTATTAGTGGTTCCAAATTGGTATAATTCTTACACCATACTTACACACAGAAGCTTAAAAAACTATATTGTATTACTGTTCTGGGACTATGAGAAAATTGTTACCATTTTAAATGATGACTTTTAGGGGAATATCAGCTTACTGGCTATCTGATGTTAAATGGTTATCTCTTCGTCATTACTAGTGGCTTTTTTGTAACTAATTTATAGTAACTGGTCATTGTTTCATAGAAGTTTCCTATTGTCTTCACTAATGTTGGTAAATCGTAGAAGTTTAATTAATGAATTCTCAAACAACTCGAGAAGCCACATTGAGCAATTTTGCTCTGCTTTTCCTTACTTCTGCTTATTAACAAAACGAAATTGTCAATGACGGTTACCATTTGCCTTTACTTGTTTATGAATAGTAAACTTTAGATTACCAAAATACAATAATTGATGAGACATAACTTAATTTTTCTTCATTTAAATGACAAGTTTTTCTGTAACTTAATAGTTGAATTATTTATTTTTTAGTTTAGACTATAAGACAAATGAAACTTAAGTGAAAAAAACACTGTATTACATAAAAAAAATCAGAAAGAAATTTCAAGTTTTACTCAATTGCTAGGAAAATATTTCAAAATTAAAACATAACTGTGCATCCCCAAAGTTAATGTAGATTTTTCACAAACAGGACAACAATCAAATCCTTACAGCAGCAGACAGTCCAGTTCTGGAACTGGCTGGTGCCTCGCCGGTTCAGAATAAACACCAGAGCAAGAAAAGCTTGCCGCATAAGAAGAGGATATCCAAAAAATTGAAGAAAAGTAATGGGAGTTGCACTCCTCAACAGGTGGGGGGCATCCGCTCTTGTCCTTAACTTAGGTAGGCACTAAATAAGTCCATGTTGCATTTTCAATTGGGTTATAGTTTTTAGACAAACTGTCAGCCCTACAATTGACTCATGAAATTGCAAGATATTGGCTAATTGGAATTCGTAGGCGGACTAAGTTTCAAAATTGGATGAGGATATTACAATTCCAAAATGGTACTTGATAAATAATCAGAGGGCACCAAATAAATAATGTGTATAATAGAATAAGTCCACTTTTCATTAACATCAACTGAATGCTTCCAGGACATAGTTGTGATTAGCTGTACAAACGAGGTGCCTCATGAAGAAATCCTACCTGATAACTTTGTGACTGGAGTGCAACACCAGGACCAGATGCCGGAAGATACTCATCATATCACACACGAGGTAATTTCAGTCGCTATTTTGACTCATCCAGATTTGACCCTATAGTGGCCTTATCGATAATTCGTTAAAATTATAATTGAGAACATTTTTTTCTAATCAACTCTAACTAGACGAGCTGACGATCTTACGGCTCTCTTGTGGTTAAGTGATTACTGCATAAAGAGTGCTATTTTTTTTTCTTTTTTCTTACCTATGCTGATAGCCTTGAGAGGCTATTTTAGCTTAACCCTAACGTATAGGTGAACTCACGGGGCTCAAACCGGGAGAGTTGCTAACACTGGCCCTAGCAAGAGCAGTGCTTCACAGAATCTATCACCCGATCGGAAATGCGACCCACTGAGAAGATCCGGCGAGAAACTCAGTGGGCTGTGTCTATGGGTTAATTCGCTCGTCGAGCCCTTCGTCGCAAGCGACGGGTTAGATCAGGACTGACCGGGACCCCATTCTAAGAAATGTACTTGATGTCTCAATTAAATTAATAAGTAAATGTTTCAAACTCAACATCTTTAAATGTTGTTAACAACAAAAACAAATATTAAAGATCATGACTGAATTGAACCGGAAGTCACTAACCACTAGAGACCATCAGCATTGCATTATAGGAATGACTGTTCTGAATTATTATTCTTGTGAATGACTAGATTAATTTACCCATCCACAGGTTCGACCGATTTTGTTATGTCAATTATGCGGAGAGTTCTATGGTGAAGAACAGTTGAAGTTCTTCCAGCATCTTAAACAGCACTACGAACCTCACACTGCAATAATCATAGAAAATCCTGTACCTGATTTAGGAATTGATAAGGTAATAATAATCACTCATCTGGCTCCAAACTGGGAGCTCCTATTTGTAGAGAGTAGCCGATTATATAGATAGACCAACGATTTTGTGAAAAATTTAAAACAAAATATTACATTTGCAACTAGTTAGACATAGACAAGGATACTTTGCTTTACGTTTTTATGGCCGGGCCTTTAATTATTACGTAGTTGTGGAGATTAGCATGCAATACTTAAAAAAGGTTTAGGATATATACCTAAAAAACATTTTTTCTTCCAGATGACAAACACGTGTATCGTTGACAACGTGGCAACCCTACCAGACTCTATAGTAGAACTCTCCCTAGAAAACACAGTTCCTAAAACAATGTACCAAAATATAGATAAACAGATATTATATACGACAAACGATAAAACACTTAGTTACACGAACAATAAAGTTCAATATTCGATGGCAAACATCGAGGGCCCGAAGGACGTGACCAGTACAGACGCCGACAAGAGTGACCTGTACGACACTTTGGATAAATTAGAACTGTACAGTTGCGCGAAGTGCAACAAGTCGTTTCGGAAACAGAAGCAATGCGAAGCTCACATCAAGGAGGCTCATTCTAATGGAAAGGTATTTTGTTTGTCATTTAGAACTGAGCGGCTTGTGGTGATCTTCCCAGTGGGTCGGGATCCGGTGGTAGATTCACCGATGTTTTGCTCTCGCTAGGGCTGGTGTTAGCAAATTCTCTCAGGATAAGTCCTCAGGCTACTAGCGAATATGCAGGGAAAAAGAGAAAAAAAGCGTTTTGATGATTATTTAATAGGAATATTGTATCAGTAGGGTTGGTTAGTGGCATTCCGTCCATTCTCCTGCGAAGCATTCATGCATTTTGGGTTGGAAGAATAAGACAGCCCTTATTGAATAAAACTGAGACTTCAATCAAATGCCTCAAGGTATTCAAAGCCATCCCAGGCTCACAAGAAGCGCATATCATAGCTACTGCCTCGACGGATGCGTGCGTAACGACCTACTTCCCACCAGGTGGATCTTTAACTTATTTATTTGTCTTAACAAATAACCAACTTTGTTGTGATAACTCTATTTCATCAGAGTTATTTGTCGGTTATTCAGATTGTGACGGCTTGGTGACACGTTTCAGATAGACGACATGGGCGAGTTCAGCGAACCCGAGGACCTGATGGAGGGGATCCACGTGTCGGTGGAGGAGGCGGCCGACCAGTACGAGCACACCCTGCTGCCGCATCTCACTGTGGACAACGGACACGTGCACCAGGAGCACGTCCGACACTGGTACGCCGCCCCTACTGACTCACTTTTTTTTTATTTCTCCTACCTAAGCTTGAGAGGCTATTTCAGCGTAATTTTAACTAGTAGGTGAGCTCATGGGACTCAAACCTGATGACGTTGCTAACACGAACCCTAGCAAGAGCCGTGTTTCGTAGAATCTACCACCGGATCGGAAACGCGACCCACTGAGACGATCCGCCGAGAAACTCAGTGGGCTGTGTCTGAGGGTTGACGCATATGTGACTGGCGCATGGAAAAAATACCTTCTTAGATATTAGGGTTGTCACCATCCACCAAAGCGTTTCTATTAGTTTTGATACGTCGCAACGCAAGCTCTGCTGAGTGTCGTGCTTTTGGTATTTCGGCAGGTACTCCCGCGGCAACGCGTGCGACGAGAGCGGGTGCTGCGGGCTCTGCAGCAACGCCAGGGAGCACGACGCGCCGCCCCTCAAAGTACTCAAAGGTGCGTAGCTCGCAGCCGGATCTCCAGATATACATTTGCATCGTTGGGTCCTCATGTCACGGGCACGGTCGGGCCTCAGAGCAACCTCCTCTGCCCGGGCTTGAACTCCCTACCTAACGAGGCAGGGGTGATGACTCTGCTTGTTGGCCATTTTTTTAAGTTGATGAAGTGATGTGGCTGAAAATGTGATGAGGTAATGAGACGTTCAAATGAATAGTGATGAGTTTGTTTTATGAGATGAGTGACGATGATGATCTGTATGGTTCCGATCATATAATGGTGGGTCTATCCCTATGATGGGAGGGAGGGATGGTCGTCCCCTCCAGATCCTTTCTTCCTACTTCCTTCTTCATATTCATTTGCACGTCTGTTCATAACATTAAATAGATATCGGTCCCAACCACCTGCCGCAGTATCCTGACCCCTACTGGTTCTTCAGTACTGGCCGGGTGTGCTGCAAGTCGGGACCACAGTAAATTCCACTCCTCTGCGATTTTTGTTGGTTTAATAAAAGACTCGCATTACAGAGGAAGTGCTTCAGCGCATCTTAGAGACGGACGTCACCAACGAACCGATGATCCCCGAGAGCATCATGCCGGAGCCGGAGCTGCCGCCGCCGCAGTCGCCCAAGGAGCCCCAAAAGGAAGATAAGAAGAAGACCGGCAAGAAGTACGGGTGTCCGCACTGCAGCAGGGTCTTCTACCACCGGAGCAGCCTGTTCTACCACGTGCTGTCCCACGGCGGGAAGCAGCACGCGTGCAAGGAGTGCGGGAAGGCGTTCTATACTTCTGGAGCCTTGAAGGTAATTCAACGCTGCACTAGTCGCCGTCGTGTGCGTGTGGCCCCAAGTGACGTCACGCGTTGTTTAATTCCGGAGCGTGCGTGTATGTTTTTTTTAAGGGATTTTATGACCTGGTAACTAAGACCTTAGGTCAAGTCTTATTTTAATTTTAATGAAAACTTTTTTATATGAAAAATGATATTATGAAATGAAATGAAAACGATATGATACGAAATGAGATAAGATAATATGGGATGAAATATCATCTCAGTAAAATTGTGGTCATTTACTGAGACCTTTTCGGTGGACTTTTTGGATGATACCGAGAAGTCACGTCCAGCGGCTTTGTTTCATTTTCCCACATTTTTGCACTTTCACAGATACTAAACGGTTAATAAACCACCGTTATTACACATTTAAATCTGAAGAAACACTAAATAGACAAAATAAAACAAATCACTTAACCTCACTCCCTGCGTCCTTTTTATTTTCTTTTTATTTCATACAGCCCACCTGATGATGAGTGGTTACCGTCGCCCATGGACTTCAACAATGCCAGGTGCAGAGCCAAGCCGCTGCCTACAAAGCGTTCCCACCAAAACGTATTTTCTGCGTGTATGACGGGGTGTGTCTGCGCAGATCCACCGGCGCGTGCACAACGGGGACCGGCCCTACAAGTGCGACGTGTGCGGCCACGACTTCCGCCAGTGGACCGACCTCAAGTACCACAAGGTCATCCACACCAACCAGGTGCGTCCGGGGCCCGTCTGTCCACGACTTTCTGTCGCTGTCCAGCCGCCCCAGCTCCTCGACATGGCTCCAACTAATCACGTAGACAATCGTTTAGTTAATGACATGACATTCGCTTTTTTACTAAATTTCTCTAAACATTTTACATGGTATTTCTTCTGTTGTTTTTGCCAGACTCCTGCTCATAAATTTCAAATGAACTTCAAAGTATTTAAGGTTGTCTGCGACCGAACTGCTCTGTACTGACGTCACTGTGTAGAAGATCTTACTGAACACATTTGTTACATAAATTAACACTTAACAAGTAGTCTTGCGTTATATTTGCAAACATATAAATAAATAAATTTATGCATGTCGTGACAATAGCAAAAACACTGAGCTGTGTGATAATAAATGTGATCGCATCTGAATTCCAGAAATGTTTTAAATGTGAGTTCTGCGGCAAAGAGTTCGCCCGCAAGTACTCGCTCAACGTGCACCGGCGCATCCACACCGGCGAGCGCAACTACAAGTGCGACTACTGCACCAAGTCCTTCCGCGCCTCCTCCTACCGCCTCAGCCACATGAAGACGCACACCGGTGAGTACCCCCCCAACACCCCGCGCCCGCCCCCCTGCCGCACGTAGTAACCGCGCGTTCCTCCGACAGGCGACAAGCCCTACAAGTGCGAGCAGTGCGACAAGTCGTTCCGCGTGGCATTCGACCTGAAGCGCCACGTCCTCACGCACGAGAAGGCGAGGCAGCGTCTGGAGCAGCAGAACAACAAGTCGAGACCCGAGAAGGAGCAGGCGAAGACCAAGCAGGACGACGCAGACAAGAGGTCGATGGCCGCCAAGGGCGAGCGGAAGGCGCGGGGGGGGCGCAAGCTGCGGAGGGGCGCCCCCAACGTGACCGTCGCCGACGAGCACTTGAAGGTGAAGCAGGAGTTCAGGCCGGAGTACAGGCTGCGCGAGGAGTTCGGCGAGGAGTACCGGGCGCCCTCCGTGCTGCGCGACACCACGGACGGCAAGGTGCACGTGTACACGCACGTGGCGCGCGACGGAGCCCTGCCCGACGGCGCCTTCTTCGAGAAGCTCACCGCGCTCTACAACGTGCCCGCCGTCTAGTGCCTTTGTGTTCAGCACAATCATATTGACGATCATTACATTTAGAGGGGGGATCATGCCAACGACACTTTAGGGGGTTACTCTTTGTTTTTGACCGCCCGCCGAGGGTGTCGCAATAACATTGACAAAACAAAGCCCCCAACAGAGTGGCACCCCGGGGGACATGTAACGATCCCCCTCCGCTCGAAACCCCTGCGTACTTTACAAGAAACAAATATAATTCGATGCTCATCTTTTTACAGTGAGCGAAATATATGCAACGAGCAGTCGTTCTGCTAACACTACTGCTACATTCTGCTAATTGGGGTTCGACGGTCCGTAATCTATTCTATATATATATATAAAAATGAATTGCTGTTCGTTAGTCTCGCTAAAACTCGAGAACGGCTGAACTGATTTGGCTAATTTTGGTCTTGAATTATTTGTCGAAGTCCAGAGAAAGTTTAAAAGGTAGATAAATTTGAAAATGCTCGGAATTAAATAAAAACAAACAATTTTGTTTTTCCTTTGATGTGTCCCCCGTCGGACGGATTCCTTTTGTTTGTTTTAAGTTTATTTTATACAAAAGTTTAGGTATTTTATTTATTGATTGAGGCACTACGAAGTCTGCCGGGTCAGCTAGTTTAAAATAAAATATTTTTAGTCTGTAGATCTTCAGTGTAGTCACTTTAATTATGAAAATTGTTTTTACGGTTTATTCTGGTCTTTTTTGTTCTCATAACATTGTTCCTGACACCTCGAATAGACATTTACATTTCAAATCTAGAATTGTTTTTGTTTCTAGAAAGGTCGACGGCAGTTAGCACAATATTGAAGTTTAGATACATAACGTATTAGGCCGTCTCAAAAAACATTAAGTATTCGATGTGACATACTAAACACAGTAAACATACTATTGAACAGTGACGTCATTGTTCGCATCCCCGACACAAATTCTAAACCACAGTCTCATGGGAGCGGGGTTGGACTACCCCTCTAATTCCTCGCCGAATAATTTAGATTCTTTCCATTAGATACAATTAAAGTATTTGTTCAGCCGACCGAGCCCGTTGCTGTGAACACAGCACTACTCTACTATAGGAACTAAAAGTACTGTTACTCGCTGAAGTCCAGGATAAATAAAAAAAATTACCGAAGTATAAATTGAAACTGTAATAACACTTAACGAACACTTTACAACTCGTAACTCACTTCTTCCGCTTCGCTTCAGGTGATCCGTTCGCTATTTCACTTCGAGTAGATCCGATTACTAGCCGACATCGTGCCATCTCTGCATCGCTTTATAGTCGATACGACATCCCTAGATTTATCGAGAACATTCTTCACAAGTCGAGTATTTTCGATGTGTGTTTCCGCTATGAGACAATAGATGGCGTTGTACTTCTCGAGTGTTCTCGATGCTACTAGTTCCTTTGATATTCGTTTCTGTTATTCGGCGATACTCTTACCGTCGTAACGGTGCTTTGTATTGGCTCTGTGATTATGCGGGTTTTCCTCCCCGCCGGTCCCACAGCGGCACCCAGGTACAAGAACCGAAGAAAAATGTTAGCAATATGAGACGGTCCCCGGGTCCGGTCTGGAGGGGGGCCGACCTGACTCAGATACACTAGCATCCGAAAGTTTAGAAGCAGCCAAGTAAAATCGAATAAAAGCCAAATGCCATCAATTTCTTTTTATTTTCTTTATTTTTCCGAAAATTGTAGAGGATATTTTCTCATTAAACTGTGGTCCAGTTTTTATGTGCCTCATTCTATTTTATTCTGTCGATTTGACGGTGACTGTATCCTCCTCGCGCAGTGTACAAAAAGCGCTTCCTTATTCAAGTGTAATTTGTTTGCGTTTTGCCATTTTCAGAAGAAATGGTACGGGCAAAGCAGTAATGGAAAACTTCCGAATACAGACAATTTTAATATCACAACCTTCGCGTGCTCAAGTGCGGCTAAATAGGGTCCAAAAATTTTAAAACTAGCAAAACTACACCATTGAATACAGCAAGCAGCCGATATACCTGTTGTTTTTTTGTTAACAATTTTAAGATGTCGTAAAAAATATTTTTAATACAATTTTGTTTTACTTAGTACGATCGATCGGATATTTTTTCGTATAAAAACATGCTTGCTTCCAAACTTGTGGACGGTAGTGTGTGTCTGTGGACTTCTGCAACCGCTTAGACCACGTGGAAAGTCGATTCATATTTCCAATTTATAATAATTGAATATATTTTTTTTTGTTTTTTTTTTTCTCCAAATTGTAATGTACCTACGCAGTGACAAAGTAGACGCTTATTTTTATATTTAATTAAAAGTAAACGAAGACTTAATTATTATTTAAGTTTTTTTTTTGTAAATAACGTTTGTCACATAATAAATAATTAGACTGATTTTATTAAATAATTTGTGCCAATGAGATTTCGCGTCGTAAGCTTTAGTGACGCGCAAGATGGCGCCGGGCGTGTCTCGTAAACTTTGAGTCCTATATTCGTTCAGTGTGCTTAGTGCGAGTTTTTTAACGTTCTCGATAGCGTAAAAGTTAAATCAAATTTGTATGGAGTTGGAGCGTTCGCCTGTTTGCCGCTAGGGGCACTGTTTCAACTGCATACAAATTTGGGTTACTTTTACACTATCGAAAACGTTAAAAAACTCACACTAAGCATACTGGTTAACATCTCTCGCCAGTAGACACGTAAAATAAAAAATCACTTTGTTTTTATATTAGGAATATTTATTATATTGTATTTAATTAAATATCAACCAATCGAAATTTGAACAGTTGAAATCATGTTTTAGTTTAGACACGTCGCAACTTTAATAATAATAATAATAAATATCAAGTTTTTTATATTCTTATTTTACGCTATACAAATAATATTTTTGTATTACATACTTTAAATTATTAGAAGAAGAATGAATTTAAAATTGATTACTCGTTCTTTACAAAAACATTCCTAGTTGTATGCAACTGCGAGAACGATTTTTTTTTGAGGTTGTTATCTCGTATATGTTGGCAATGTTCTCGCAGTGCTTAGATGAGCGACAGCAAGCTCCCCCTGTCCTGGTGAAACTGGAAAGGCCACCGGGCCAGAAGTAATCCTTCAAACTACACGACGACGATGCGATGCGATGTGTTGATCGCTTCTATCTTGATAATAAAATATTTACTAGCGCGCAGTGTAATTCAAAACGGAAAGGTGCGTTTTACATTGCGTGTTTACGTCATCCAAGAGACTGTTTTGTATAGCAAATGAATATCGTTTATCATTGTTCCGAAAACAAGGGAGTACATTATTTTTATTTCGACATCCTTGCAGCAGGGTAGGTATGTACTGATTACTTTTAATAATATAAGTGAATGCTGTTTTTTTCTCGTCACGAATCACGGAATTGTCGGAAATTGTAAAAATTAATGAAATAAATGCAATAAAAACACACTTGCGAAACAAAATATGAATTTACTACTGCGTCTTGTGTGCGCACGCCACTGGGATGACTTAATATGAGTTTTAAAGGTACCAAATAGTTTAACTTAAATAATAATATACTTAAATATATTTACCTCTAATTATACGTGTAAATATATTATTTATAAGATAAATTTTAATAAACTTTTGTTAACTTTTACTATTTGTTTTATTGTCGATGTCCATTTAGATGAGTTATCTATGCTTCCGCTATAAACTCAACCAATGTTGTGGTGTAAGTAGTAGTACGCTGTGCGCCAACGCGGAACCACTGGCTGTGTATTTCCGCAGTGAAGTCACAGATGGAACAACCCTTAGATGTTACAAGTGAGTGGTAGCCCACGTGTTGTGACCGTGGGCCACTGAACAGACTTATCTAAACCTGCTGTTATACATCCAGTTCATAAAGACGACCTCTTTGGTCTTTATGTCGTCGTGGCCTAACGGACAAGACGCCCGATGCAATCGTACCAAAGTGAAGCATCAGTGTTCGAAACCTGCATGCAAGTGCCAATTTATACTAATTTAGTTATTACTGGTGGTAGGACGTCTTATAACCACGTACGGGTAGGTACCACTCCCACCCCGCCTATTTCTATTTCTGCCGTGAAGCAGTAATGCGTTTCGGTCACAGAGTCAAGGCCCGATTCCGCTTACGTTCCATTGTTCAAGATTGTGCATTCATGGTCTAAAACTGTTCCTCGGTATTTCAGATAGCGCAACTTTAACAAGAGGAAATGTTGACCGATAAAACGTTTGGCCGCGGTGTTTCACCGAGCCAAAATCATTCGCTCTGAAAATATTCTCCTCACGACTGCAGGATATTTATCCTATTTGTTTAAATGTACGTAACATAATGTTCCAACAATGTGCTTACATTGTTTGATATTGTGCCTGAGAGTTAATTTCAACGATTTGCTTCGTCTGAAACAGCGTTCGAAGCGGGCCCACCCTGCTTTATTTGTGAGTGTAATGCCCACGTTTTATGCGTAAACATGTCGAATTCGTAAACATGGTATGTTTAATATCTAAAATAATTGAAGTGAGTAATATGAAATACGGGTACAGCAAGCTCATGATGCATGCCACAAGACTTCAAAACATTTTAACGCATCCGCTCTGAGTTGTAGCCAATATTTGTGATGCACTCTATACCTATTAGTTTCTGAATGTAAAAATGTCAGCGAGCGACGTCTGCCATGACACCAACGCTCTTTCAAATTCAACCGCCAAGAGCAACGCATCAATTTGTGTTCTTATATTAAGTCGTTAATCTATACTAATAATATTATAAAGCTGAAGAGTTTGTTTGTTTGTTTGAACGCGCTAATCTCAGGAACTCCTGGTCCGATTTGAAAAATTATATCAGTGTTAGATAGCCCATTTATTGAGGAAGGCTATAGGGTGGTATACATCACGCTAAGACCAATACAAGCGGAGCACCAATATAGAATGTTTCAAAATCGGGTTTTGACAGCTTCCGCTGCGTGCGCTGAAGAAACAGTTAAAGTTTCGCTAAAATAATGTATGACAGAATTGTTCCCCTTTATAATTTCTAAAAAAAAGTCCGCGACAGCATATATCTATATGTCAAGGTCGGCTCACTATAGCATTTTTTATGCTAACCAAATTCGTTCTAACATAATGCATTAATTGTGAACTATTCCACGCGGACGAAGTCGCGGGCAAAAACTAGCTTGTTATATAAAGGTTTAATAAATTTAATATTAAAAAAATAATACAATCCACACTTAATTACCATTACGCAACATATGGTCTGTGACGATTCATTTCTTGTTTATGACTGCAGCGTAATCATTATTTGTTTCCGGAGTGATACAAACAATACTTGTACAAGTTGACGTTTCTTTTCAGGAATTAGAATGGAAGCTTAGGGTCTCGCGGTCAGACCGTTGTGTATTCAACACCACTTAGAATATTGTATCATAGACGGAAAT